TTTAACTCAGTTAGTTGTAATTTTATTTGTTTGGTAAATAAAAAACAAGAGGGAAATAATACGGCTAAATTGTGTACACCACTTTCTGACACTTTCACAATTTCTGTGAAGAATCACAGACACTTCCAGGATGTTGGCAGTGCTTAAACAGGCGTTTTCCTTATTATCTTCTCTGGATTTTGTGATATGATTAAATTTTGTTTCGTTCTTTTGGATACACTGACCACAACCTAAAAAAATACCTCGAAATATCTAAAAGCATTATTGAAAGAAACGTATTGGTGTAGTAAAATTATGCGAGACAATCAAAAACCCACAGATTGCCACCAAAATTAATTCGTTATAAATCGTCAATGAACTGAAATATGCTATTTTAGAGTGGAAAATCAGCTCATAAAATAAACAGTTTTGTATCCTGAAACAGTATTCTAGAAGACATGATCAATATAAGCGTAATTAACACAGTTAACATTTGATCTTAAATACTCCAATTTTCTAAGGAATTATAATTATACCAATTTGAGTGCATAAAATTGTGTTTCCTCAATGTTTTTAGTTAGTAAATTTTGATAAAAGTTAAATAACCTAAGCAAGCAAAAAAATTTATTCAAAAAAATAATATAAAAAATTCCAAGTATTGCTGTTATTTACTTTGAAAGTAATTCTTAAACGCCTAATATTACAAATATTGAAACATCTCCACTTTTGAACAGTTCTGCTGAAGTGTACTTCTGTCCATAATATCTCCCCCTTGACAAAAAGTGTAAAATGGTTAATCTATAATTAATTTATTGGGACGGAGAAACGACTCAAAATTTGAATAATTTCTCTTATTTTCGGTGTATTCTATGTATTCTTGGGCTCCTTTTCCTGACTAAGCAGTAACAATTCAAAATTCACGAGGGTTACTCAAGTTGAAGAATGGACGAACCACTTCAGCAGGAATTTTAAGGAATGGACGGGAATAATAGGAATGGATAAAAATCTTGATAAAATTAAACATCAAATAGCCCACAGAATACGCGGAATATGTTGTAAATATTCCGTTTTCCAGTCGGAATACAAGATTTTCTACTTTACTAATTTGGGAAACTACTAAAATCTCACATTTTCGCGCCATTTTCCTTTCATTTTCATACATTTACACACTCTCTCTATGATTTTCCTAACAACCTTGAAAGTTTTTATAGCATTTACAACATTTAGAATAGTTTCAAGGCCCAGAATAAACATTAAAAGCTGTTAAAAGGAATTTAGGAGTAAAAACTTAGTGAGATAAAAACAATTTCGAGCGTCAGATGGCGTTATTAGAGATAATTCTTTAAGAAATTGAGGGAAAAATGTCGATTAAAAAGGGATAAAATGAAGGAAAATACACAAAAAAGGCAAGAGAAGTAAAAAATAGATGTGAAAAAACCGAATTGAAAGAGAATCGAACCCGCGACTTCACGATTTTCTGCTGAATTCTCTTATATAGAAGATTTGCGCTGGAATTCCTGCAAACCTTCCTAATTTATACAATTTCCAAAACTCACTTTTGAATTAGTTTTGAAGAGAAAGAATATTTCAAAGAATGGATTGGAATGGATTGTGGAATACTATGGAATTTTGAAGAATGGAAACCACTTTTCTCCCACTTGAGTAACCCTTGAAAATGCATATAAAAATGACAGAAGAGAAAATCTAAAACAATGTTGTAACTCCAAATCAAATAATGCCACTTGAGGCTCCGAGACATACTAGTAGTCGTTAATTTCCACATGGAGTTAAAAGTCTGAATTCTTCCACCAGTCTTCCCTCATTAATGAGTAAATATCATGCCGAATTTGAAATCATTCCCCTTAATTCTTAATTCGTTTGTGACACTAAAACTGAACGTATGCATAAACAACTCTTCAAATTAAATAGAGCCACTTGAGTACTATTTGAATTTTTTCCGCTTAAGAATGTTTTGGGCCCTTAATGGGATTTAAATGAGTCAAAGGTGATTTCAAGATAGTTGTCCTGTCGATTTTCATTTCATATCTGGATTTTTTAAGTGTTCGATATAAAAATTATCTTAAGTTAATATTAAGTTATGGAGCGTGTACAACACAAAAAACAACACATGACTTTCGAAGATCGATAATAATGGTGAAAATACAGCATTTGTCTGCCGAACATTGTTCGACTTTATCATCTCTTTCTTCTCTACGCGTATCGTGTAGATGAAGTCGAACGATGTTCGAGAGTCAAATGATGTGTTTTCACCATAAAAATTGGTAATTCACATCCAAATTTATTCAGAAAAGATTGTGAGATATACTTATAACAGATTAAAAGATTGTACATTTTTGTTTTCAAATAAATTGTATGAAAATCTCAAATTTCACTGTGGTAAATACGTCGCCTTCAAGTATTTCTTTCTAATTGAATTAATTACTTCATTAATTGTAAACAATTGATGGTATCCCTCAGGATAATAGCTAAATTATCCGTTTGCAAGAAAAATAAGCTGTTTCCCGGTAACAGCTTGTTCTAGTTCTTTTTCCAGTTTACAACATCATGCAGGAAATCCTTAAACTCAAATGCCACAGTAGTGTTCCAGAAAATTAAAGAAATATCGAATTTTGAACAGTAAAAGGAAAATTTGCCTAAATTTTTGACATGCCTTAAACTGATTTTTTCTATTGTATATGAGAATTGCGACACTGCATTGCTCGAGTCTTTTGATTAAATTTTTCACAAAGAAAGACAATGTAATCATCGTGTATTTTCTGAGAAAACTGATAACTATCACAAAGTCCCTACGCCTTTTCATATGAGGACTGTTTTGAATTATTGGAAAATTACTCCAAAATTTTAGGACAACATTTACCGTGAAGACTCACCGCAGTAACCATAGAATAACAACATACTGCTCCACTTGGGGGCATTGTGTGTTTATTAGTGAAATGTATGTCCTTACTTCTTTATTTTGTGAAAATTTGAGGAGATTTGTCGACACATATTTGGATCCTGCTGAGCACGTCAAATTGTTCTGGAATTTTCTGCGCGCATCGCTTCACCATTCTTTGTGAAATGGTAAACATAAAACATCATATACGTACACACAAAAGGCTGCACGTCTAGTTGCATCTATTTGGAAGGAGTTGGGACAAACCACACAATTTCTCATGAAATTCACAACCAAAATCTCAGCCTCCAGCCGAAACCTTACCTGGTACAGCTGTTCAAAGTTAATTCGATATGACAAGCGTTATTCAAAATGTGAGAGGTAATGCTGCCTGGCGTCTACTAAATAGCTGATATTTAGTCATTTTGAAGACCTTAAGCGATAGCAGATAGTAGGTATGATGTCGTAGCACATAAATTATAAACAGCTATAAGTAAATGCTATGAATAAAATGTGAAACCAATTTATAACGGAAGGGGGAAAATAGAGTACGAAAGACACAAAAATGCTTTTAAATGCCACTTTTCACTGTTTTGTAGACAACGCTTAGAACTGTGATTTTGCAGATTTTTCTGCACTTATATTCAATTGCATTTAAAGTAAAAAACCGGGAATTATTAGTTCATAAAGAAAAGAATAAAAGTTACAGTTAAATCCATCAAGGCACGCTTCGCGTCTGCTTATCGTGAACTGACATGTGAATATGGGCCACTCAGATTTCTATTCCTAAAACCTTAAGCAATATAATTGGTGTATCGTTAAAAAAGTTCTGAGTTTGGCTAAAATATACTGAAATTGAAGAGAAAATGCATTACAGTTATTATGATCGATGCGATGAAAACCGCATATCGATATCTTTTACCGTTCAGGCGCTGGAAATCCTTATGGGGTAATAGACGGACGAACAGACGGATGGAACGACAAACGGAACACAAAACTAATGTACTCCTCTTATCACCGTATTTATCTTACCAGTTTAGCACCCATGGATGGTTTTCATTCGAACTTTCTAGCAAAACAGTTTTACGCATTGTATTTGACTGAAAATATTTTAAATCGAAAGAAAATTGTTTAATTAGTGATTAAAAGTATGTTTTGCCGACTGAAATAGGTTTAATTGCCTGAAAACAGCACAATGAGAACTGACATTTGGCATCTTGCGCGAAAAGTGTGAACATAAATTTCCATCAGGCACTCCAAATATTGCAGATTTCTTGCAGCACTTTTGGCGGCAGTGCCAATAAATTTTTACCTTTTGTGAACCTCTTTATCATGATTTTAAAATTTCTTGTGTAAAAGAGAACAGTAGATACGCAAGTGTGAAGTGAAAAAGAGGTAAAACGACAGAGATAAGTTGGTTCAACTTTTGACAACCAGAATTTGGCAGCCCGTACTAGCATTGCATCAAAATTACCTGTGGGCTAAGACCCTTAGTCAGTTAATTTTTTGGGATTCGCTTTTTTGAGCGAAAACATAAAATTTATTATATAAATTCCAGCTAGATATAAATTTGTAGGCAGTTTTGATTACTAGCTTATCTCTGTCACTTGTCCTTTTATGTGGGCATTATTACGCACGAACTTTGGTTTTCACTCCAATTAGACAGATAGCGATCAGATTTTGTTCGAGCGGGTTGCCAGATTTTTGTGCTTCGAAGTGTTATCTCCAAGAACCCATTCTCTTCATCCCTTTATCGTTTTAGCACTTTTTTACGTCACACTTCCTCCTTACCTTTTCGACTATAGATTGCAAAAATATCAGGGAGAGGAATGCAAAAAATCTTCAATGGGAGAATTTATTACCGCTTCTCTCAAAATAGCTGCTAGAATTCTGCACCTCGCTAATTTAATGAGTCTGTTTTCGAATTTTTTATGCAATTAGACCTATTTTAGTGCATTAAACCGTATTTTATCCAAAAACTAAACCAGTACCCTTAGATTTACACTATTTCGATTGAAAATAAATATTAAAAATTTATCTAGAAAAGTTCGACAGAAAAATATGATTACTTTCTTTTTAGTTTATTTTTCAACATGTTAATAACTGTATACACATATTTTTTCAGATGGTGAGAACTTTTGGTGGTATGCCTCTTTCTCGATTTCAATATTGATGTGCGAGAATCGTATAAGACAATGGTAGTCTAAGAAATGTAAATTAAATTTATATGGCAAAATCACCGCCGCCAAATGCAAAACAAGAGGCTATTGCGATGCCACCACCATCTTTGGAGTCACCTACTTCCGATTCAGCACCCAGAAAAAGACGCCGAAAACGCGATGATCCACAGAGTTGCAGCGCTTCAGCCGAGGTGAGTTAGTAAAATTTTAACTTTGTTGCACGAACTTGTTGAATTAAACTGTGTTGCAATTTCAAAAACTAAAAATCTGCGATAAGAGAAAATGGTTGAATTTGTGGTTACAAACATGGTTTTGCCAACTAAAATAGTTTAATAACCCTAAAAAAAATATAAATAAAGTCGCCAAATTGGCGACTTACAAATAAAACTTGGGAAACAAATTTACACGGGCAACCCGATTATTAGAGATTTATAGTATCAGTAAAAGTAACTGCAATATCAACTTGTTCAAGCTTGATAGGTTTGTACGAGAGTTTTGGGATCTTGGTCTACTAATGGATTCTGCAGCGCAGTGCCGGTGTATTCTATGGTTTTATTAGGCCTGCTTGTGCTTTTCAGATCTTATTACTGTGCCTTTTTACAAATTTTCATCCGAAACTGTTCTGATGGAGAATACAAAGTTTTCTCCAAAAATCAAGGGGTAAATTGACCAAGTATGATAAATGATTACATATAGTACTATTATAGGAAGAGAGAGAGAGAGAGAGAGAGAGAGAGAGGGAGTAATAGAGAAAGACAGATACTTTAATTGGTTATATATTCATTGCGAGTGTTTAGAATAAATATGAAATATGTATTGGTAATTGTTCCTGTAGTTTGATCAATAACATAGCAACAAATGCAAATCATAACAAATCCTGACTTGAATAGAAATATGAAAATGATTTTAGCGAAATGAACGATAAATGAAGAAAAATCCTTAACCATTGAGAAATAGATTAATTCAGGACATATACCTACGAAACACATCAACTATATAGAAAAGCTTCTTTTTCCTACACTTTTAGCTATGCTTTTTTCATATAAAATTTTTTATTCTTTAATAATTAGTATATCCTGTATGGGCAACGTAAAGCGACTGTGGCTTAGTAGTTAACTCGTTTGACACTTAACGTTACAATAATGTGTTCAAATCACACCGATTGCAAATGTTCAAACACAGCAGAGTGTGGAAAAATTAGGCCGGCGGCTGCTGTTGAGTGTTCCAGCTGAAACAATTGCTTCACTGGAATTGTCTATTGCGCTTTTTCTTATATAAACGGTTGACTTTAGAGTCACTTATGGTTGGTCGACAAATTGAAAATCTGCCACCGTTAAATCAAACCGATCTCAAATATCTTCTCTAATGGATAATGCTATGTCCGTCAATGGGACGTAAAACCCACCAAAGTGAGTAAGTAGAAGCAACGAGCAATAAACCAGCAATACGATCTCCTTGGGTATTGTACATAACATGCATAAAAATATGTTTTTCAAGCTTTCACCGAAGCATCTCGTGACCCATCGTATTAAATGTCTGTGTGAGGTCTATAAAAAGCGCGTCTATTGTAAGGTCATTGTTCAGGACCGCACACGGATTAGAATTGAACTTGACTTGACTTTCTCACAATCAACTCCTGGATTGGCCATATGGGCAAAAATGCCTGTGGCCGTAAATTATTAAAACCCAAAAAAAAACTCCTGGATTGAAGTAATACAGGGCTCCCGAAAAAAAATTCATTTAAAAGCCGTAGATTTGATTGTCTGCCAGCTTTTCAAAAAGCTTAGCAATAGTCATAAGAAGAGACATTTGTAGTGTCCACATTTTTGTGAAATGGCAGGACAAGTGGAATTCAAAGGCTCTGTTTGAAGATCTCTTTTGATATAATTTTAGGTCCTAAACGGTACCTCTTAGTCACACCATCTAGATAGAACCTATTATGCTAATGCATCAATTGAAATTGTTATGAAGCGTAATATGTACATATGCATACTATATTCATCAAGGTTCTAAAAAATGTCATCCCTGACTTTTTATGCTCTCATTAGCTTAACTAATTGAGTGAGTGTACCAATTAGCAAACACGTTGTGAACACTGAAATACATTGATATTCCGGCGTGTGAAAACACGGGAAGTAAGTAAATCGAGAAGAGCAGGCAGGGAGATTAAAATAACATAGCAGAAAGGGCAAATATCTTATTCGTAGTCTGTTCTTTACTTAAACAATTAATAATTACTGATAATTTATTAACTTTTCACCCTTAATTAAATTGATGAATGTGGGTTAGCATTATGAATATATGTTAATAAATACATAGGGGCGGCGGTGGGTTTATTACTAGAAAGCTCAATTCTAGCCACTACAATGCTTAATTCTAATATCTCAGATTATGATTCTATCAAACCCAACAAGAGTGTAAAATTAGAATTTTTTTAAATAAACTTAGATTTTAGGGTTAAATTTTTATATTTACAATGATCAGAACTCCTGTTCTAATGACCCGAGCAGAATGATTCTGTACTTTTTGGAAACGTTTCACTAAGAGCCATCTTCACTTGAACAAACTAACTTGGTTTATCCACCGCTAGAGAAGCTATAGTTGCAGAAATGATTTTTCTTTCCCAATTATCTCGGATGAAAACCTATAAAGCTTATAAAAATTTAAATGTGATGCAGCCCTTTGCAACGACACCTATGCAAACGGTTTGATAATGTACATATCTGCGGAGATATATCGGGTCAAAGTTACCACTTTTACCAGCTCATACCTCCGTTTTTGTCTACTCGATTTCGATTACTACTTCACCAAAAGAAGTTTCTCAGTGTCCTAAGTAGGCTACATTCACCATTACACTGCGACGTCATCAGTGATGCAGCATATGGAATTAATTTACATTTCACTGTGAAATGTGTGCACATGTAATGTAAAAAAAAAAAACAATATAGTATATTTATTTTATAGTCCAGGTCAGGATCTTTTAAAAACAAGTAATATTATGAGATTGAAACTATAAAACAGAAATTAAAGCATTTGATATTTAATTTTTCAAATATCCTGATTTTTACATTTCATATTGTCTAATACGGGCAAAGGGAGAATAAATATGTGATATTGCTTCACACCACTCTCACATATAGTGCAAAAAATGCCCAGAATTTAAACTCCATATTTCTGGTGTATGGTCACCATGCGGTAGTTAGCCGCTTGCTCGGTGTTAATCTCTTTATGTTTAGTATGCAGTTAAAAGCCGGGGAAGTAAGAAACAAAATGTTTCTTCCTACAAGGGTAGCTTCACAGAGACATCACAATGCAATACAATGTCATAAAATTTCAATCCCTATAATGTTGAGGAATTCCATTTTTAAATAATGACTTTAACATTTTTAAAATAGTTATAGAAAGTTTTGTCCAAGTTTTCGACTGTTGATAGAATAGAAGTTGAAGAAAATCGCCTTTTCGGTTTGAAATATTGGTGTAAAAGATAATATAGAGATAAGCTTTTCCAGACCGGAAACCCACTTTTCTCAACTTCTAGTTATGGATATATATTTTTTCTGAATTTCTATAAATGTGAGACGTAAAGATCTTTTGTATGTGGCCTTAAATTATTCAAAAAATGGATAAATATAGGAAAATTAACTAGGAAAGAGTTGAATTGTTATGGGGAGGAGCACTTTCTGGTGGAAACCGTAGCTGTATCGGGAGATAAAGAGCCTAACGGACAAGTCCCGCCATCAGCAGAGACAATGCCACCAGTAAATCAGCAAAAACAAATCACAGACAAAAAGGGACGACAACACATGCATCTGCCCAGCCGGATTGCACTGGACATCCAGAATGAGGACCATTCATTCATGGCGACCATGGCGAGCACAGAAGCGCATCAGAACGATTGGAGGAACACACACGAAATCGTTAAGTTTGCAGAGCTTGAGGAAGATAAAGATCATCAACTACAGATCTCTGCGCTTCAACATTTTAGACTTGAGTCGTGAAAAAAAATCGTTCAAGACAATTTGCATGAAGACATGGCCAACAAAAGAGTGCAAAATACGAAAACTATACACGGTACACAGGGCTGCCTATGGCTAAGTTCTTATCAAAAAAGAATCCCCAATTTCCTGAAAAACCACAGTAAATTGCACCAAAACTGCAAAGAAGTTGATTAAAAATCTCATAAGATTTTCGCGTACTTTCTTGTCATTTTTTTAAACAGAAAAAAAAACATTAGCAAGTATATAGACGCTATAAGCGGTCACAAAAAAATAGTTAGATATTTCATTAAGATTCAATTTGTGTCACATATTTTTTATTACAAATTCTGTTACACGTGCAACATTTTCTGTATTTCTCAGAAATAACAGGTCGTTTTAATAGTCTCAAAACAGGTGATTTTTGGTGTGATCTTCTTGCAGCAGATACTTAGAAACCACACTGTTTTCTATAATTTTTTTTATTCAGTTGATTTTTTTTTCTTGAAATAATAGTTTTTTCTCAATTTACCGTGTCGTTTTCTCGTATGCAGCCTCATATAAATATTAAGCAAATTTTATATTGGTGACAGAAAAAAAACATTATTGAATAATTTCTGCTTACAAAATGCGTATCAAATGATGTATTTACATTATTTAAAAAAAAGATATTTCTAATTTCCATTGCATTTCTGTAGTAAATGTATGTAATGTGCAGAAATTTTGACAAACTGTATGAGTAGAAAGTATGTGAAAAATAAAAAATGACTTTTTAAAATTAATTATTAAATAATAAAATAGTAGATTTTTTGTGAAATTACTTCCCGCGATGATAATTCTAAAAAGTTAATTCCGTGTTTCTCAATTCTGGATAATCACCATCACACGAAATCTGAATAGATATTTGAAGGGGCTATTGGCGTGTATGTTGTTTTTTCTTCTTTTCAATTCTTCTATGTGCTTTCTAGGTTTTGCCATACCAAATGAATTGAATCGATTTTCAAATCCGTGAGCGCTTCGCGAGCATTGTGTCGGAGGATTGCGCTTCGCGGCATCAATGAGAGCTGCCGAGGACTACGATATTTTAATTTAAAATATTCTTTCCGCCTCCTTCCCAGGAGGTTATACTTTTTTGCGCGCGCTTTTCCCACCCTGTCGCACTGTCTCCCTCAAATGTATGGACTCATCACACCGAGGAATCCACCTTGGGCGCTCACTCAACACCACTTTTTACTCTTCTGCTTCGCCGCTTGCACAATTTTTCATTGCTAAATCGTAATATGAATTGATTGTATATAGAATAACCACTTTCTGTGCATAAGAAACCTGAAATGTTCTTCTCGAATATAGGGATACGAGAATACTTTTATGATTTTATTTTTCTGAAAACAGCCTAATTGTGTCGCTAGGGGAAATTACACATTTGAAAATATTTAATATTTTTAATTAAAACGCAATACGTATAAATATTGTATATAATTGTATTTAACAGTTTCTTTTGGTAATTGTCTATTTAATTCATTTTCCAACAGCCAAAAATATAATTATTGACAGCAGCAAAAGTGAATAAGTGTGAAGTGTGGGTGAATATACCTTGTAAATTCATATTAGGGTATATATAAGGGATTTTATTCTACTAAATTTTATAGTATCTCTTTGTGGGGGATTCATTCGTTTTAGCAGAATTTTGGAAGCTGAGATTCACATCACAGCTACCAAATAAAAGATTTTCCATCACTTTGCAGTGAGAAATGGAAATCCACGCTGAAACATTGATTGGCATATGGAGGGTGGGTGAATGATACTAATAGCAGGAAAAAAAAAACAATAGTAATTCCCAGCTCCCTCATGAGCACATACGAAGCGTCTGCTTATCCACAATGTGATGAATTCACGAAAAAATAGGAGTTATTTTTTGAGTTCGTTCGTCGTTTCATTCGACGTCACTATCTGGTCTGTAGCACCTAAGCGATACAAAATATCATACTGTTTGCATCAAAGGTTTAAAATATGCTGTCAGGCATACTTTTAATCATATTTCTTCTACAACGACTACTTTCTTCAAAAAATGGTCCACTCAAATTAGACTGCCATTTTGAATACCTCTAAAATACATTTTCCTATAACATAAATCGACCACATATTGAATGTGTACTTTCCTTATGGAAAGATTTTTGTGAATGTGTGCATATGAGATCACGATTTTAATCATGACATTCCTATAGTCGCGACTTAAGTCACTATATTTCACAACACCTAAATTTGGTACTAATCTTCACGAAAAATAAGAGAAACTGAAATCTAAATGGCTTTCTACATTCAATAGAAAAGAAATCACACATTACAAACATATTAATGTGCTGTTTTATTCGGAAAAATGGGGGCTAAGCCTCGTTCACAGTGTGTACGAAACTAGTCGTTGCTATGAAGTAGCCAAGTTTCTTCTTGCATTAGCAGATAGGTATAAAGCGCCTTACATACCCCCACTTCAAGCTTCAAATTTATCCGGACTCAAGATTTAAGGACTCAATTTTCAAACATAATAATGATCATAACTGCGATTCTATGTAACTAATTTGATTTATTTTGCGGTCATTAAATAGGTTTCACTAAGAGCCATCTTTTACGTGAATCTTAAAATGTGGTAGAACCACCGCTAAGATGGCCAAAATCATAAGAACAATTTTTAATATTTAAAAACCGAATAACTCGGAACAAAAATCGAAACAAACACCATATTGAATTAAGTCTGAACGTCCATATCGCGGCGAATCGGTTTTACATTTCGATAATATTTTAGTATATTGTAGTTCATATTCATACTTATCCAACACTAAGCTGCAACAGTCTCGTATATCGACGATAGTAGAACACAATTGTATTGCAGGCAAAGATTATCAGTAGGCAAATAAAAAAATTGCGTGTTTGGAACGTATAAATTTTGCAGTCAAATAATGATGCTGTAGTAACAACAATAAAAAAAATTAATACGCACAGGGTAAAATATGTTATTAGACAAAGAAATGACAACACTTTAATTTATTTTTACAGCTGGATTACGATTCAGATGAAGGATCACCACGATCTTGTTCAGATGTGGAAAGCTTTCAAGGCAAAATTGTCTACAACTCCGATGGTAGCGCCTACATCATCGACTCAGATAATGATTCCCTTTCACATATATCAGATTCCTGCGGTGCAGGTAAGTTTTATGGGTAATTTTATTTATTAAATATCTCTAATGTGGGTATTTCTTTTTTCAGGTGTCGTCTCACCAAATAATCCAAAAATCCATTCATTTAGAGTTGTAATGGCAAGGGAAGCATCTGTAAATATTAGTGAACTGAATAGGATATCAAAGCCAGTGCTAATGTGTTTCATATGTAAATTAAGTTTCGGTAATGCAAAATCATTTGGTATACATGCCAACAGTGAACACAACCTCAATTTGCTTGATAGTGAAAAAACATTGCTTAGTCGTGAATATTCGAGTGCCATACTCCAAAGAAATATTGATGAGCGTCCACAGATATCATTTCTGGAACCGCTTATAAACCACCAGATCGCTCATATGGGTACACAAGAAAAGGTTACGGAGTCACCAGTAATTGCGGAAGCAGATAAACCCACAACACCTGCACCTGTTACGCCTGAGCCTGACCCACCGGATACACCAAAGCCGGGCGAAGCAACTTTGCCGCCACCAAAGTCACCACCCGCCCAGCATCCTACACCTCCTATCGAGGTTAAGAACTACAGCTCAAATATGTCTCCAACATCTACAGTTGCTCCAAGTTTCACGATCGGTGCTTGCCCCGATCACATAAACGGCCGCCCGCTCGGTGTGGACTGTATAAGGTAAGCATGTGATCAACATACACTGGATGCCAATTAAATTAAGTATTTATTTTTCTTAACATTTTTTCTGGTAGAAGAATCATTTCCAAAAAGTACAAAGGAATCTGAAAATAGTTTAATATAGCAATTCTCACTCACACAAAAAATGTTAAATATGTGTTTTATTGGTTTAACACACGCCTTGCGCTATTCTGAGTTACACATGTAAGGCTTTAATTGGCGAATGTGTAAAAAAAAATTAACTACTTGTGCTAAAAATTTTAACATTTGTGCAAAAAACAAAGTGACAAATTGGAAACTGCAGCATAACTTGCAAACTTGAATCAATTTGCAATCATGGCTCTAAATTTCAACCATGAACATGAAAGATGTTTGCAGCCAATGTTCATTGGGAATTAAGATTGTCTTTTAGTAAGGGTCTTTGTTGACTCAATGTTCGCCAATTTCTCATATTCCTTGACATTGTGTATTGAATTTTCCCCATTGTCCTGTTCGTGCTGACTTATCCTATATAAGCGCATAAGTGAGAAGTCAGGAGTGTTCAATTATGAGTGGTTTTATTATTTTTTTTCTTTGGACCTGTGAGGAATTGCCTGTAAATAATTGTCATCTAAATAACTAACTCGTCTGTATATTTTGGCGGATATACGGTATTTTTTACCATAAACTCTGTACTGACATGGTAATGCCAGGCTGAACATTTACGTTGGATCAAAAATGACCTCAATCTCCTTTGCAGATGTGAAATGATTCTCAGCTCAGCGCGTTTGGGATCCAGTTCACAAATTAGCACCCGCAACTCATGTAAGACCCTAAAGTGCCCACAATGTAACTGGCATTACAAATATCAGGAGACTCTCGAAATACACATGCGTGAAAAACATCCTGATGGTGAAAGTGCGTGTGGTTATTGTTTGGCTGGTCAGCAACATCCACGTCTTGCTCGTGGAGAGTCATACACATGCGGTTATAAGCCATACCGCTGTGAGATATGCAACTATAGTACCACGACAAAGGGTAATCTTTCAATCCATATGCAAAGTGATAAGCATCTGAATAACATGCAAGAGCTTAATAGCACACAATCTCTTGCCACAGCTACTGTAGTTCCAACCACAGTAGCTGAAGAAGCGCCCAAGATGATGATTAGTCAGGTGGGCACATCCAAACCAAAACCTAGCTTTCGATGTGATGTGTGTTCTTACGAAACTAGCGTAGCACGTAATTTGCGCATACACATGACAAGCGAAAAACACACTCATAATATGGCAGTACTGCAAAACAACATAAAACATTTGCAAGCACTCAGTATAATACAGCATTCTCAAAACATGGGACAAGCGACTATGCCGATGACACAGAACATGCCGGGATCAATCCAAAATTTTCTTCCTGAAGCTGCGCTCGCGGACATTGCATACAATCAAGCGCTCATGATACAACTGCTACAGCAAGCGGGAGGTTCTGCACCAACCTCACAAGCCTCAGGTGAGTACTTTGATTATAAATAAAAAGAAATTTTTCAAAGTAATTATTGAAACTTATCTTTTACTCCTGGAAATGTATTTTTTCGAACTAAAATATAATATATTAAATAGCAGGTATACAATTTTATTAATCCTTTATATATTTAGTCAATATCATCCTAAAATAGGCAGTGGATTAACAGATTGCAAATAAAGTTTGGGTCCTGTTACGTTTTTATGTCGTTACATTGTGGCCTTAAGCAATGATACTATACACCAGAAATGACCCTATTTGCTACTATTCTATACTATATTATGGATATGTTATATAAGTTCATTGATAACGATGTATACCGAAGCAAGTTATATGCCATGCTGTATTCAGAGTCTGGCTTTGCATTACAGCTACTACTAAAAAATCAAATCTCGTCTAATTTCCTAGCAATTTTCGTTCTATTTTTTCCGATCTTTATAATTTTAGGCCTATTGGAAAGGTTTTGCAAAATTCGTCAACAATTTTAAACTACTAAAGTCTATCTGACCACCGTTTGAGGCCGCAATATCAATATGTATTATTATTTTTTGAAATTATATCAAAAAACTTTTCCAATGCCAACTTAATTTGATATAATGTTTTAGTATCCCAATAGTCCAGTTTGAGTCATTTTCAAAACGTGGTTTAAATTTTCTGTCAATGCCATAGAACTATGTGTATAATGGTTAGAAATTTTCATATGTAAGTTTGGATGTATTTTCAGTTTAACTTCTATCCGAAATTACTAATTTTAAATTTGAAAAGCTACAATTTATTACACGTTATGCGTGTGATATATTAAAGTATATTAAAGATGTAAACTATATTTAAAAGTTTATTTGTTCGGGCTGGCCTAGCTAGCTTATTCAGATGTTAGCCCCTGAGTCGTTTATCAGCTATTTCTCTCTCTAAGTACAACTGCCATGGTGTCAAGTTCTCTAGAATTCTCTCTTTCTTATGGGACTCTTATGGATTCTGCTACCACGCGAGTGGAAGAGGGAGCTTATTCTCCGCAATATTGTGACTGATCATTACGTGTAGCTCTATAGTATTTTTATGCATATCATACCATATCATTTATACCGAGCATTTACTAGACATCTTCACATATATTTAAGTGGACAAATTATCCTATCTTAACAAAATTATCTTTAATTTTCAATTAAATCGATTAATTTAAAAAAAAAAATCTGATTTGGCGTAAGACAAAGTAATTTCCCTAAATTACTTTTAATTTCATGACTGTAACAATTAGATCATTATAAAATATTAAACTCTACGCCATGTAAATTTTCCATAAATTCTTTATTTCCTCTTAATTTATTTACAGAATCGTTATTTACAGAATTTTTTATGACAAATGATTTTAAAATCCCATCTCGCGCAATGCCAAATTCGTCTCTTCATCTCAATTTGGGAACACATTTAATTAATTAGAGATACTTATCTTATAATTGTACATATTAGGGGTATTTATCTACAGTTGGGAGAGAATTTGTATTTAACGATTTAATTATTGTTTTGATAATAAAATAATAAAAAATGTCTTAATGATTTGACCAAGGAATCGCGCAAAGTTTTTATAATCTATACATCGCAACTATCTGTTGCATTTTTTTTAATTCACTGTAATTAATTATAGGGCATACCTATATGGAATTGATAAAACGCAAATTTAAATGTAAAAAATTTTCATGACACATATTTTCAGGATGTGATTGATTTATTTCAGGTCGTGTTTCGCCAAATCCCACACTAGGGCTCAACTGTAATATACCTGAGCAAGACGTAGGCATGAATCCTGAAACATTTGAACCACCTTTCGATATTGATGTCCGACCTATGCATCTATTTACCTGTCTTGTGTGCACTACTTTTAGTACCAATAGTTTAGATGATCTCAATGGTCATCTATTGGCGGACAGAACACGTACGCCAGGTGCCGACGTAATGCTTATTCTTGGTAGTAACTATATCTGTCGTCTGTGCAACTACAAAACAAACCTCAAAGCTAACTTCCAATTACACAGTAAAACAGATAAACACTTACAGAAAGTAGCATATATGAATCACTTGCGTGAAGGTGGAACCACTAATGAATATAAATTGAAGTACAGCGGTACAAGCGTGGTGCAACTCAAGTGCAATGCCTGTGATTATTACACTAACTCCATTCAAAAATTAAGCCTCCACTGCCAACACATGCGTCATGATGCGCAGAAGCTCGTCTTCCAATATATATTGTCCCTATTGGAAACTGAGGACAATCCGACTGCATTCCATTGTCAGCTCTGCAACATCGTCGTGCCACACACGCTCGCTTTAATGCAACACGTGAAAAGCCTAAGACACATGCAAATTGAACAGATTGTTTCCTTGCAGCGAAGATCTGATGGATTTGAAGGACTCAGTCTAGCGGCGATCTATAAACTTGTAGACCCAGGTGAGTTGATAAAATAATGAAAAACATGATCTCAAGGGGACTAAATATGTTTAAAAAAAAATAAGAGTTTTTTGTGTTCCGTTTATTCTTCCGTCTGTCTGTTGTGTCGAAACACTATCACTGTGATTCTACTTTTCCGAAAGTAATGATTTTATGAACTACTCCTATTGCTTTATTTCTCTCACCACTGGGCAAGACAGTGGCTGAAAAAAATTATCCAACCACTTAATCTTGCCCGGTCTCGAACCGGGTCAATCCTAGCCCAGCGGTCCGGGGCATTACATACCGCGAAAATCTTCTTTGAATCTAATGATTTTGGGCTTATTGGAAATCTGGGTCTTGCAAATCTCTACAACTACTTGAAATAAAGAAAGTACATACATTTACCGTTTACACTTCTAATTAAAAAAAAATTATTTGAAAATAAGAAATGTTGTTTTAAAATCTAACAGTTTTTTTTTAATATTCAAAGCATACCGAGAATCCAATTTAAAGCGTTTTTAAAATGTGTCTATACTTATCAGTGGAAGACATAGAATGCGGGTTAAGATGGTTAAATATTTTATTTGAAAACTTAACGCACTTTTGTATATTTTGGTAAAATTAGTAAATAAGGCATTCAAGTGCTGAGTTGTTTTGTCATACGGTCGGTAACACTCACCGACTACACAGATATACACATGAGTATGATCAATAAGGTTAAGTTAATTAATAAAGGAAAACATGAATAAGAAATAGAGCCCAGAGAGGAGAATAGATAATGATAACAATAGGAAATTCATGGTAAAATTTGGAAATGGAGAAGAGAGAATGCATAAAAAAGGAATAAGAAGAGAATAGGGGAAAAAAGAAATCGAATAGGTAATAACAGAAAAAAATGATGAAAAGAGTTCTACTAATTGGATAAGATTGTGGATAGTGCCTGAAGAGCGATTGCATCAGGAACTGGAAATCCACAAGCTAAATAACCAAGGAATAGAACAGGAAAAATAAATAGATAAGAAGAAGAAAATCGAAGGAGATTGGTGGATAGATATAAGGGTTCACAGAGCCAAGTCCATCAAGCTGATAACCTCCCCAAGCACTAATTTATTCTATTCTTGTTATTATCTTCACTTCACTTCTGAGAAAAAATTTTGTCGACAATTACGAAGATGTCATCGTGCTTCAATATACCAACTCAGATATATTCTCTCTCATTTCGAACAGTTGGAGAATAAAATCATACTAACTGAAACACACGCGATTTACAATTTCGCTTTTGAACATCGCTGTTTCTGTGTCGATTAATGTGATCGTACAGCTGCTTTTACCGTTAACCTTGGTTCCTTTCAGCGAATCTACGACACAATCCACTCATTTAGATTTGGAGACGCGAACGCGACAATAATAATAATTATTATTATTGTTATTATTATTAAAATGATTTAAAAATAATAATTATTAAAAAGAAATAATACATAAAATTAGTCATAAAATAATAATTATTACCATTTATTTCGCCTTGTACAAGCTAGTCCTTTGAATATATCTTTTGGTACATGGTGTGACGCGAGAATATGGACGGCAAAATACTCACTTTACTCACCAGTGACTAATATTTTGAGGACCTAAGTGTCGTCTTGGTATGCCAAACTCAAAGACTGTCGGCGTGACAGAATTAGCATGATGGGATTGGGTAGCTAATTGATTATGCAATCTTGTCGGATGTTGTGACAGATTTTCAAGTTATATTGCCCCACCTTAGTCGCCAACAAATAATTTATCATTTCTTTTATACATTTTTCCATACAAATTTTGTTCTGCTCCTAGCATTCCATCTATTTCACATTAATTATAGGACTTTTGAACGTCCTTCAAAATTAAAGTTTTTGGTAAAATTTGTAATGGAGTCGGCTGATGTTAATAATATCTTTTTGTTTCTGATATATTTCATATATAAACAAAAACCTTTCAATTATTCTGTAAATTTGGGTATCTAGCCTCGCTATGTCGGCTGTGTTGCAAATCGCGAAACACATGCTTATCCACATTTCTAGGGACATCATTGGTTGAAAGTATATTTCATCCATATATATCCGAAATGTTAATAAGACAAATCAAGAACAATAATGAATACTTTTAATGCCTGTTACTTAGCACTATGGAAAAAACCTCTTTCTGATATTGAGCATGCCAATTATTGCGAAACATTATCCTAAGGTGAGGTAAAAAAATTATTTTAACTTTCTTGATTTCACAGATGAGGGCTCAGGGTGTAGTGCAGTCAAGAGCGAGGAGCAAAGCCCAACACAGTCGCCAATACGCGCAAGTGATATGAACGTCCCCAAAACCGCATCGCCATTGCGTTGTTCGCTCTGTAGCTTTCAGTGTACTGGACAGACAACACTAGAACGCCATATCGCGTCATGCTGTGGAGAAGAAGTAGTATCCGAAGAAGCCACACCATGCGAGGAAGATGCAACAGAAGAAGTTGCCTGTCCGTTATGTCAAGAAGCATGTCCTGATAAAGAAGTACTTGAAAAACATGTAGTAGCGGCTCATAGTGTAAGCACAGATGGTCTGTCGCGATTGCTACACCTTGTTGACACTTGGCCAACGAAACGACAAGATGGTGCTTCAACTGAAATTGAATGCAGTGCATGTGGGAAAAGCATGAGGAACTTTCACGAGTTATTGGCACATTCAAACGAGAAGCAGCATTTCCATCATACCAACGATGCTTATGTTTGCATCCTCAAGAGTTGCCAGCAGGTAGTTATAACAAACTGTTTTGAAAATTTTCGTACATCTTTTAACAAATTGCTTAAGGTCTTTCCCAACATCCCGCCGCTCATTCAACACTACAAGGACACACATCTTAATATTGTCATTAGTGAACGACATGTGTACAAGTACAGATGCAAGCTATGTAGTCTTGCATTCAAAACGCAAGACAAACTCAACAAACATTCAGTTTATCATGCAATGAGAGACGCTACCAAATGCGGTAATTGTGGACGTAGTTTCCGTACGGCTGTTGCATTACAGAAACATATGGATCAGGTCAGTATTCTTATTTTTACAGGTATGAGAGTAGTCCTTACTCATTTGTGTAAATTAAGGAGAGGAGAAAAAATTAGACACATCCGTAGAAACATGATACCGGCATTTTCATATATACTATTGAAAGACTCTTTATACACTTTTGTGATTTATTAAATATTTACGCAATGTTAAAATAGAAGAGACCCGTCGTGCCAATGGACAAGAAATCATATTAAAGATAAAGCTATAAAGAGAGTAACGCAGAAGCAGACCTCTCTTATTCGAAGAATGCCAAACTACTGAATGTACTAAAAAACATATTCAACGGCAAACAGGAATGAAGACTGCGATATTTCTCACAATAAAATTGTAAATGAAAAATAAAAATCAATTATTATGACAAGCAGCACGCAATTTTCAGTTCACAAAATAGAGATTAAACAAATAGTATACATTTGGACTTTTTAAAGCGGAATTAAACCATGCTATGGCGATTGCGAGATATAGCCATTGTTTTAGTTATTACTTTATATTGAATTCAAATCAAGTTTACCTTGCCACATTTCGAGAAGGCTACATAAATCTTCATTCTTCTTAGGCTAACACATTTGTTGTTTATTAGCAATTTTCTTTTTATGTACATATCTATCGTTTCTACCATGAAAATAATGTTTTTAACAATATTGTTTGTTAATAAATACGAATAATATTAAGTGACCCTTTTGAAGGTGCACACCACAACAAATCTTGGTGAGGATTTCGTATCGAGCATAGCGATCAAATCTGAATTGGACTCAGAGTCTGTGAATGATGAGGGTGTTCAAGAATCACCTGAACCAGACGTTGATGACTTAACCTGCCCAGATGATGGTACCGAACGGAAGCACCACTGCCACAAATGTCGTGTAGCCTTTACGCAACATAACTTTCTTTTACAACATTATCGTTCGCCCACACACCGACGGAACGAATCTCGACTAACAGCTAGCGCATATCCAATTGAGAAGTACCTGGATCCCAACCGACCCTTTAAGTGTGACATCTGTCGCGAAAGTTTCACGCAAAAAAATATTTTATTGGTACACTATAACAGCGTATCACATTTGCATAAAATGAAGAAGCACTCAGAAACATCCACTCCATCATCGTCGCCTAGCAATGATCTAGAGCGTTTCATAGAAGACTTAGAAGACTCCCCTGAAATCGAAGAGGAAATAAAAGGAGCTATAAAAAGAAAACTTCCAGAAGATGATTACGAAAGCCCAAAAAAACGCTTTAAGTGTGATATCTGCAAAGTAGCTTACGCTCAAGGGAGTACTCTAGATATTCATATGCGCAGCGTTTTGCACCAGACACGAGCATGTCGTCTGCAGGTATGTTCAAATCACCAACCACAAGGTTCATTTCCTTTTTGCGAATCTATTATTTAGGAAACTTCTACACAATAACATTACTTACTGTTAAGACACATCATTCTACAGTGACACATGATCTTGGGTATTACGCCACCTTACACTATATATATATATATATATATATATATATATATGTGTGTGTGTGTGTGTGTGTGTGTGTGTGTGTGTGTGTGTATGTATATACATATAAGTCCTGAAACGACAGAAATATTCTGCAGAGAACACAAGTCAATAATTATGAATAAAGAGATTCTAGTTTAAAAGAATTTTAGTATATGGATTTTGTAATATTACTATATTTATAGGAGCAACAACAACTCATACCAAAGGTGCAGCGGGATATCTCAACAGCGACGGTACTGGTATCAGCCAGTGTGAGTCCCACGCCATCCACCATTAGTGGCACGGACTTGGTGAATCCTAGTCTTGAGGACGAACAGCCCAAAATTAACAACCATGTGTACAAAACACTACTTGAAAACTTCGGCTTTGATTTGGTAAAACAATTCAACGAAATCAACAAACATAGTGGCGAAGGTGTACGTGAGGAAGAACGCTACTACTGCCGCCATTGCAAGAAAACATTTTCCAGCATTTTCGTCCTTAAATCTCATTGTGAAGAAATGCACAATGAGACCATTCCAGTGGATTTTCTTGAGAAATTTGCGGAGAAGTTTAAGACATACTACTTTGAATCGGGTTATTTGGAGGCCGCTGATGCTTTAGATTTTAGCAAGAGGCCTGAAGGACTCAAGGGTTCTCCGAATTCCACTTCTAAGATTATTTCATCCACAATTCCTGTTTCCTTTTCCATAGCCTCCACATCTACACTTAAAATACCTCAAGTTACTACTAGTGAGACCGCTCCGACTATTGACACGGACACTGGTTTTCTGTCGCAGAAGCTGTTAGAACAGCAAAATTTATCCTCTCTGCCACCCAATGTGGCAGCCAATTTATCTCACAACCTATCCCAGAGCTTCCAAACAATCCATAACTTTGGCAACAATTTGCCCTTCAATACTCTTGATATGATCAACCTCATGCAGATTCACCATCTCATGTCGCTGAACTTCATGAACATGGCGCCACCTCTTATATATGGTGCTAGTCAGAATTCAGCAGCAACAGCCACAGTGTCAACATCTGATCTTCCGTCACCACAAACTCAGCAATTATTACAGCAGCATCCAGTCGCTACGCAGATAGCAGCAACAAATCAGGTGAATTTTATATATTTCAAAATATTTTCGGTTACACATAAGAACGCCACAGTTGCGTTATCAAATTTCACCGGCGGCAGAATGTTTCATTACAGTATAATTCAAAAATCTTTCTAAAGTTAAGACTTTCAAAAACCAGAATTTAAAGCAGAAGCTATCCTGATTACTGTTCTATGTGAGAACTAGAACATATGCTTTGCGATTTGAGTACATATACATATATAGTGAATTTTAAAACTAATATGGAAGACCAATGATAATTTTTAGTTAAATTGCTACAAAGAGTGATTGGAGAAGGTGTTTTTTCTCCTCAATACAGTCATCGCACCTTGAGTTCTTGCATTTTATATCGCAATCATTACCATGCTGGTCACTAAACGGGCATCTTCTAATTTGTTTAATTATTGTACTGTATCATAGAGGATAAATTGTTATATCTATCACCATTGAATAAATTGAAATGAAGGGTTACAGAACAAGGGATTCAGCTTTTATGACATTTTTACCAATTAATAGGTGCAGGGCAATCAAAAACGAGCCAGAACACGAATAACAGATGAACAGTTGAAAATTCTGCGTGCTCACTTTGACATAAACAACTCACCAAGTGAGGAAAGCATAATGGAAATGTCCAAAAAAGCTAACTTGCCGATGAAGGTAAACATAACTTAAATCAGGAAGGAAAACACTCACTCTTGTCCGTTGCAGGTGGTAAAGCATTGGTTTAGGAATACATTGTTTAAAGAACGTCAGCGCAACAAAGACTCACCTTACAATTTTAACAATCCACCGTCGACTACTCTGAATTTGGAGGAGTACGAGAGAACAGGTCAGGCAAAAATCATCAAGTTGATAAGTGAGGAAGCAACTTCTAAAGTGTATTCCGCCATTGAAGAGCATAAAGACCTCCCAGAAACCGTATCTCCGAAACTAGATTTAGTGAAGCAGGAAATGGAGATATCAGAAGAACGGATATCAAAACTTGAAGAAGCTGATCAGAGTGTGAGTGGATGTAATAATTTGTCCAACAATGGAGAGCCTCTATATGGCAACTTTGAAGGCAAATCAGAGATTCCTGAATCAGTATCACGACCACAAACACCCATGAGCGCATTTGGAAACATAGGGGATTTATTGACTCCACCTATTGATGGACAAAATATGGGGCCTCCTAAAAAATATCAAATACCAACAAAGATTTTTGACAAAGGAGTTGTTCCCACATTTGACCCACCACAGACTAGTGTTGTACAGACACCTCAGAGTAGCTCCTCATCCAGCGGCAAAAGGGCCAATCGCACCCGTTTCACGGACTACCAGATTAAGGTGTTACAAGAATTCTTCGAGAACAACTCTTACCCAAAAGACAGCGACCTCGAGTACCTCAGCAAGCTTTTACTGTTGTCGCCACGTGTCATTGTTGTGTGGTTCCAGGTAAGCTTCCATAAAACGTCAATCGAGCAATATCTATTTATAAGGAAATTTTCGGTTTTGACAAAATCAAATGTGTTTTTTTGCATGGCAAATGTAAAGAATTAAAGCGTTTATGTGGATCTGCGTTGACTTGTATTCTAACTTCATCTTGTTACATCTAGGTATAATTCGAGAACCGAATTATTACAAGTGGGAAGCCATTTACATAGGATCAAATAATCTACATTTTGAATTGTTATGCTTCTCAATTATCTAGCGAGAAATCAACATGCAAATTACACTAAAGAATAAAAGTATGCAGTGCTATTGAAATTTTTTGATGTCAAATCCAACCCCATATCCCTCCGTCCGCCATTTTGAACACCCCTAAAATAAGCTCTCTTCATTTGTTCAGCCCCTATGGCATACATCAATCACAAATTCTTGCTTGTTATACCTGACCTCAAGACCTTTCCAACGAACCGGTACTTCAAAATCTAGGTCTTTCCTGGCCCTGATTTTAGATCATTGTATTGTATTTGTGTCATCCATATTTGCAAAGTGGAGAGTTAGCTGCCTAGCACTAGCAGCTGTTTGGCATATTGTGCTTTCAATAGAGTTTAAGTCGCGTAGCGCGACCTAAATAATCGTTAAACCTGTTCTTGGTCATTGACGAAGAGCCAATCCCTTGCCGCAGTCATGCCCCAGTGCCACACCCTCGCGCAACAGGTCGTTGTTAATTATCAATCAATCAATAATCAGTGGGGCGATGTAGTTAGTTACATTAGTTAGATTGTAGCGTAACAACCTTCGTTGTCAACACTGAGTTTCTATTAATTTTTTTTTTAAGTACGAATGAAATAAAAAAAACCTCAAGATTTCAAGTTTTTTTTTAACGTTTTCGAATTGAAAATACGTTAGTTAAGTTAGATCCTTTGTTCGAAGATGGTGCTGTTCAAATCTGCCTCATGCATAGTTAAAGAAGTTATCGCACCAGCCAAAAGAACCATGACACTTTTCTGCAAAAGTCATTGCGCAGAAATTAACTGTGAATATGTGATAATGATACATTATTAGTATTCAATTAAATGTAACATATTAGTCCTTTAAGAACAGACTGTCGCCTAGATTGACTATTTGGTTAAACATTGTATTGTCTGCGGTGAGATAATACTTAAACACGAATACAATTTAATTTTGAAAAAAAATTATAAAAGTAATTATGGATTTATAGAATTTTTTTTATAGTAAATTCATATTTCGCACCTTTCAGCTTAAAATCGAGTTTATCACGTTTCAAAGACATAATAAGCAACTACGTTGATTTTTTATGGCAATGCTGAACTTTAGTTATTTACATAAAATCTAAATGAAAATCGCGGCAGTTCTATGAAAAAACGAAATGTGTGATGTTTTGCTAATTTTTGAACAATAATTTTATACAAATATTATTATATACCTATTACCCGTATTGAGTGCATGAAATAGCAAGTATACTGTATGAAAGTAAGAGCATATGTGATTTTGATCATTACCTAAATGGGTATCCCAAGCGGCACATAACCGTTGTATGACGGTTTTCCAACCGTTTTCACTTGTAGACAAAGCCTCATATAACCGTAGGCAAAGTGATCGAAATTTGGTTGTAAAGGTTTACGTGGAGCATAGAAAAAACGGTTAAATAATTAACGCGATAAGAACATGCCAAGCATATTGCAGGAAAATCGCAAACCATCATACGTGTTTGTCTGCATTTCAAGCATGAGATATTTGTGCAAATATGCTCATCTTGTAGAGAATTTTTTTGTGAGCCCTGTGAAATATTGGCATCCCATCTTGGAAAGTGAAATTTTTTTCACCCATTTTCCGCGGGATTTTTTTAGGGTGACTGAGGAATTTGAACTTTGAGTTGACCAATCGAGCTGATAATTACTAAAATTATTCGAGAGCTCGATAAATTGATGCCAAAACCATCATCATAATCATTGCATATGAAGTGCAAAAGTATTCATGTGATTTCCTCGAAAAGCGCTTCAGATTCGAAGATTTCAGCGAGCGAGAGGAGCGAAACATATAACACGTAATCATGGACATCTTGATTATAAAATGAATAATAGAACAATTTTTTAAAAACTCTTCTAAATCGCATACACATTCAATAACAAATTGAACACAATAATAATAAATAATAAATTTATTCTTCCTACATTTTATTTTAGTGCTTTTCTTGTTATGAATGGATTCTCAGAAGAAAAATATAATTCACGCAAGCAATTAGTGTTCAATAAAATATATGTTGCAATAAGTTCTGATGAAGCCTTTGATATTGCCGCTCACTATCGCTTCCTCGGTAGCCACAGGGAGGATTTTAGCGGGGATATCGTGAAGATTTCGTGTCATATCAGTACGACAGGCAGCGAAAGGGTAGCGAAAATGTTCGAGGAATTCAAAATCCCAACTTTCAAATTTAACGTTGCTTTGATTATGTTTTGTACTGAGGGTAAAAAATTATAATTAAACAGTCGACAGCAATTAAATTCTCATCGATTGTGTTGCTGCGATACGGTAAAAGAATGGCATAATGCGTTGACCGGCCCAGGAAAACAATCAGAATCTGGAATGTACGGATCTATTCGGACACTAAAAATTATTCTCCTGATGCTCCTGAGGCAATCGTTACACCTCAAAGAATCTCATTCTCTCTCTTTTTCTTATGCTATAAAACATTTTGATTTGTTACAAGTTCTCTGGTTACTTTCAAGTTCGTTGGAATAGCGTAACGTTATTTGGTTGGACAGTAACGCTATTTTGTAAGACATTTCGTAACGTCATTTTTCACATTGTAAAAACAAAAAAATTTGTTACAAACCTTTATATTTCAGGTAGTATTTAAGTTTCGTTATTATGTGCCGCTTCTGATATGAAAAAGATTATGCAATAAGTGGAAAACTTCTGGATATATAATCACATCATGCACGTACTTGTGAAAATATACAGAGTATTTATCTGACTGTCGAGCCAAGACCGAAATCTTACCAACATAGATGTTTTTCATATATAAGTCTAACAAAATTTATGGACTCCAGAAAGAAACGCTCAATTGCTGGCTTCACTGACGTGGCTCCTCTTTAAACACTTGTAGACAAGTGATGCCAAAAATTCCAAACGCCATAAAGACATATATAAATGTAAAGGGATGTTTTAAATATAATGCATGTTGAAGGCTGGGCTCTCACAATTATCAATTTTTCATGCTTCACAATTACAAATTTTCACACTATTTTGTCTTGATATATCCGCAGGGAGAATCTTTATAAAATGATACGAGTAAATCTATATTATAGAGAGGTACCCTGAAAATATTTTAAAATCATACAATGATGTCTGTCAAGTTCTTTTTAATTAATAATTTTGTATTTTGACATTGAAAATATAGGTGTTACGTGTGTATGTGTGTGTGTGTGTCTATGAAGCAAAATAATTAATGCTTATTTTATGTGAACATTATCTTATTTTTTTCCAAATGCTGACTCATTGTGATGTGTCGCCGTTAGAATGCACGACAGAAACAACGAAAGATATATGAGAACCAACCAAATAACTCATTCTTTGAATCAGAAGAGAAAAAGTCTAACATCAATTACACGTGCAAAAAGTGCAATTTGGTTTTCCAGCGTTATTATGAGTTGATCCGCCATCAAAAGAATCACTGTTTTAAAGAAGAGAACAACAAGAAATCGGCTAAAGCACAGATAGCCGCAGCTCAGATTGCGCACAGTTTGAGCAGTGAGGATAGTAATTCAAGCATTGACGTGGGCCATCAGGCGATGGTAGCAGAATCTCAGGGCGAGGGACAGTTGCCGATGATGGCAACGCAACAACTCCAGACATTAATCGGTACCGTAACCTCACTATCACTACCCATATCAACGTCCCCTAACCCTGTCACTGTCTCAAGCAGCGCCATTGTTCATGAGCCGGAGCAAAGTACCCAGTTCTCTGGTCATGAAACCACTGACGTCGACAATCTAGGTCGAGCTGAGACATATCCAGCGCCGTTAGCACCCCCGCACTGTCCCAACGGGGGTGCCGACGATGCTATGCTGGAATGTGACAAATGCAGTGCCGTGTTCACTCGTCACGACCTCCATCGTGAGCACCACAGATTACACACTAGCGGATCCACGACACCTGATAAAGAAGACGATATGGACTGGTGTCGGTCTTTCGAGTCGCCTGAGCATAGTGACTCACAGTCACCAGGCGACATAGCAGAGGAAAGTGATGGAGCTCAAGATAATCAAGCTCAGCCGCCTACCAACAAACGACTGCGCACTACAATTTTGCCAGAACAACTCAACTACCTGTACGAGTGCTATCAAAATGAGTCCAATCCTAGCCGAAAGATGCTCGAGGAAATCAGCAAGAAGGTCAACCTGAAGAAACGGGTTGTCCAGGTAACCACCCATTCTCATAGGCTTAAGTCCTGCCTCGAGTCACCCAAAGCCTCATCGTCCTTATTATAGTAATTCAGAGACCCACCTTTATTTATTTATTACTCATATATCGCGGATCCTTACGATGAAAGAGATATGTTATCTGAATTTCTTTTGCAAACTGAAAATAACTTAATTTTTCTGAGGTATCTGAAATTTTAAATCTGAATATATTTGAAATGATTCATTTAAAAAAAATCAGTGACTAAATTAGTATTTAATCGGAGTTTAGAAATCTCGTCAAATTTTTAATGAACACAAGCTTTTTTAAATTACTCAGAAATATATTTTAAGTTGCTATAAGTCTTCACTGAACAATACTTTCAATACAGACTGACTATATAAAATTCAATCGCCTAAAATAATTTTTTTAAAAATTTGTAAATCTGTTGCAGTAAATCTATATAAATGTGCATTTAAAATATGAAAATAGCTTTTTGGTATGCCTTTTAAGTCTTTGTGTTCCAAGAAGTAGTTAAAAAAAAAAGAGCGGTGAAATTAAACAAATAAAAATCAGTTGAAATCTGCCCAAAAACGCAAAAACCTTTTCTGTATATGGTTCATTCTATGAGTTTACATAAAAAATAATAATTTTTTTTACGATTCACATTTCTGGAATGTAAATAAAGATTTTTAAGAATTGTAGCCAAGATTTATTCAAATTTTTTAAATAACGTTTTTGTAGTAATTTGTGCCCTACGCACAATGGAAAACTAATTCAAACCAGTTTCAAGTGTCAAGCAATTTAACTTTTTGTAAAGGAATAAGCGACAGAGAGCTACAGGCTTGAAAGTAAAATTTTTTGGAACTTTGCAGTGACTGTCATCTAATTGTATTCTTGGAAAAACCCCTATCAGTTAGTCTATACGGCACAGTGAAAAACGCGTTTTGTCCATGTTTCTCTCTAAATTCTTGTTAAAGACTCATCAGTTTTGAATAGGGACAGGGTAATTGCAGGATTTTTAAAAGTTTTGCTTCAAAAAATTTTCATATTCGCTTTTTTCACCTGGAATTCCTGTAACTTCGAATTGCTCAATGTATTTATATTTTTTGTGGTAAATGGACATTCATCTATCATATAAAACTGCGAGAACAACTGCTGCAATTCAATGTTGAATTTATTTTAAAAATCTGGTTCAAAACTCAAAACTGATATGAGAAAATTAGTTTCGTTTACTTTGTGGTTTCCCATTATTCTTAGATCATTGGATTTTTAACTAAGTTGCCGCGATAGTCACAAGTTTGTTGACATTCTTTAATATCCAATACTTCAGAAAATAAAATGGAGGGTTTGTTGATTTTAAAACTATTTTGGAAAACTGTTTCGTGTTCCTTTTTCTCTTAAATTCTTTTTTGATATGTTGCTTTCTGTACAGATCACTTTATGTAATCAACTGTTGATAAAAGTTACGTAAACGAAAACTGGCATTTTACTTTTCGTTTTTTTTTATTCCTGACCTCTGCCCCGTAGTACCCAAAAACCATTTTCCTTTTTGTGTTGCTCTGACTGTGGGGGTGTTGACGGCGTGTGTTGATTTCAGGTGTGGTACCAGAACTCGAGAGCACGTGAACGCAAAGGTCAGTTCAGACAGAATTTGCAGCTTATCAACAAAAAGTGCCCCTTCTGCAGTGCTATCTTCAAAGTCAAGTCCGCCCTAGAGAGTCATCTGCAGATGAAGCATGCCGACGAGATGCCCATGTCAGTCGATCAGATTCCAGATGTTACACACTTTGACACTGCATTCGAAACCCGTAAAATGGCGCCTCTGGATTTACGTAATGCGCTTGACAAAAAAGTGAGACTGGAACCTAAGAATGGTTTTAAGGGTTTTAATGGCATCAAAAACGAAGAAGTTGCGCCTATTGAGATTGCGGGAGATCGCGTGCATCTGGATGTAGCGTCAAGTGTGCTCTTTGGTGCACATAAGAAACGCCATCGTTGCCAGATGACAAATATCCAGATAGCCATTCTTAGCAATCTTTTCGGCGCATTCGAGCCATCACCGGTGATTAAATGTGAAAAGGGCGATCTAGGCCTCTCAAAAAAAATGGTTCTCAGCGAGAATCACTATATCGATGATTTGGTATACCTTATCTGAGCGTAGATCGTAAATTTATGCATTTCTCTTCAAACTATGGGTATTTATCGAATGAAATATTGTACCTGTAGGCTCATTTCAGCTGTATGTCGAATTTTTTGACAAAAATAATTCATTGTATATGACGAACATGAATTCTATTAAAGAAATACTATGTATATAGATAAACCAAAGTATTATTATTGTTCCAGCGGAAAGACAGCACATACATTTAAGGCGAAATGCAAACAGGTACTTACTAACTTTAAGATAGTTCTATGGAGAATACGCATAGGAATACCAAAAGTTTGTAATACTAAATTGGTCTTTAAATTTTTTACCTTCAAAAACGTAGAAAGAATTTGGGAATTAACGTCTCTAGTAGTAGTCAAATACATTATTGTTCTGTTAAATAATTGTAGAACTTTACAAGTGATTTCCAATAAGCTTAAAGTAATTGAACTCGTACAAACAACAACTCAAGCCACACGCTAAAACGCAGGGTTTTTCACATTTATTACAAAGGTCCAGGACGTTCTAATAAGGATAGAACCTTTCTCCCAAAATGCTTATTTCAAGCAATTTTTGTCCGATAGGATCGCGGTGAAAGATTTGCTCACCTTCACTCTACACTTATCTAACGTTGCATAGGAATTTCCACTGTGTCCGGATGACCAAACTCTACCTCTTCTCCTCAAGTCATGTGCTGTTGCATTAATCTCTCGCACGTTTCGCTTACATCAGCTTCATTATTTTATGAAGTATATCTTGCATATCTCGTCTGTCAAATCTTCAAGGCTTGTTGGGCAGGGATCGGGGAGCCGCATCCTTCCAAATTTGCTTTTTATTGATGAGGTGATTCTTTGGAATTAATTTTCTAGAGATACCATGCGGCGGGTAATCCAAACCTATTCGGTCTACTGACAACTTTTTAAAATTATTTTCATCGATACAAATTACGTGCAGTTATCTTTTTAACCAATTTTTAGGGTCGTTCAATTCATAATTTGCTAAAGGCATACAACGTTATGACTGAGAATCGGTGTGCTCTTATGCTGGAAATTGTAGATTATACGCATGCCATCTAATTCAAATTTGTAATCCGTGTCGGATTGAAATAAGAGGTGATTTCGGATTTATGTTTATTTGATTGTGGCGCAAACCGGCTCGTTGTTGCGATCTATGTATACTGATCGTAATTATTTTCAATTCTAATTTTAACATATCAATTGACACAAATACATCATTAGATAATGAATAAATACTCTTGAAGATACCATATATAGTTTTCTTAGTACATTTGAAATGTATTTTGAAGAAATCTTTTGCTTTTATCTTAGAGAAAGTATAAAAAATATATGTTGTCACTTAACTTACTCAGCATGACTCACGTATGGTATTATGTCGCAGTTTTTCACTTACTGAGCCTTGGAAAAGAAGTAAAATTGCGTGAAGGGTTTTTTTTTTTATTTACCCGAGCGAAGAGAGGTAATAGAATTAGTTCCAGGTTGCAAATAAGAATCAATCCATGGCATAGAATTAAAGTAATGCACAAAACCGTTGGCGGCTGGATGTACTCTGTTCAGTTAGACTTTCGCTGCAGCATAACACCAAGTGGTAAGAAAGAAAAAGATAGAGAGAAAAGAGTTTACATTGATCTTGATCATCAGAGAATATAAACTGGACTCCTTGTAGAAACACGAATCTAGAGAGTTGAACCGAAAAGATCATACTTTTCATAAAAACTTTTACCTACGAATCGGATATACCAATAATATATGTATTAATATTTGAAATCATTGAACATGAATTTCGTTCAAACGAGCTAGACAGTGAATTCATAACTTTTTTATCGATAAAATTTATAAACGAAAGATTTTTCGTGAATCGTTATGACAGCTCGATTGAATTTCTAGGCATCATTTCCACGTTCACAAACTGTATTTTTTTCAAGATTTGGTCCCTTAATTGGGTTTTCTTGCACATCGAAAAATTCGAATTCATTTATATTCTAACGAAATTATTTTGGGTTATACATGTCTTTATTGGTATGCATGTGTTTTGCGTGAGTTTGCCATCTCGTTATCCGACTATTTTGTCACACTGAAATTTTTAGTTCACTGTGATTTTAAAACAAACTTGGTGCTGCTTGAGCCAAATGAAAGATATTTTAAGTGCCAATGCAAATCTCGTAGGACAAGACTGTGTGTGATCCAAGTGTACAGAAAGGGCTCAAACCAAGGCTCAAAGGAAAGAAATACTTTGTGGTTTCACTCTTACTATGAAACTTAAACAAATAAAGCAGAACAAAATGAATTCTCGTTGTTCCATATTACTTTCAAACTCATTAGATTAGCATTTAGTTTTATTAGGGTTTTTTTTGCGTGGTACATAGATTTTTAAAAATTTATTTTACTTGTTAATAAAATACAAAAAAGCACTAAAGTTACCTTATTATTTAAGTTAGAAACAAAACTGAGCAGAATTCAGCGGAAAAGCTAATCGAATTATCAAAGTGTCTCGGATATCTGTTAATTCGATAATTCAAATTTTCAGCGTGAAATATAGAAAAACCAGAGAAACATTCGAGACCAAGCTGAAAATACCAGATAACATAAAAGTCCAATTAAACCCGGAATTAGGTGATTTTTCATTAGAAAATGCACAAAATAGCTATTTCCCAAAATTCCGTTTGCTCTGAGAGTTTCATGGTGACCAGGATTCAAGGTGCCTGCCGGAAAAATTTGGCACCACCCAGAATTTTCTAACGCCTGGTCTGAGTTTAGGTGGAGCAGGAAAGACAGCAAATTTGAAAATTCGCGTTTTTCCCAACTAACAGCGGTGGCCGATATTTTTTTCACAACTTGTAACTTCGTTCTACATTTGTATGAAAACAAAACAATTAATAGAGCTAATAAAATCTTAAACTGCAAATTACTTCTCACTGATGTAATATTTTTCCCGAAAAATCGGGTTGTCATAGACTTTCTATGATTTCCTGCAAGTTCGGCGTGGTCTGGCAAGTTTTACGTAGAAAATTTGAATTTTAACGTTTTTTCTGCTAGCTGAGACACTAACCACATCCAGCTTTTCTTCTGAGTTCAGCCCAGTCTCGATGTCAATCGAATTTTTTATATACTTAACTCTTTTTATATTCACTTAAATTAGTGAATAGTTAGTAGCTATCAAGAAATATTACGATGGTGCACTGCTCTTCCATGAGCATACAGAAGAATGCCAATGTCGTGATATCCTGCATCAAGTGAAATTTTCAATGCTGTGCTTCCGTCCATATCCTGGATGCTTGAGTCGCAATTGGGCTGAGCAAGAAGGATCTTCACAATATCCATCTTACCATGCTCCACGGCACACATCAACGCCGTACTACCATCCTCATCTTGCGCGTTCACATCTGCACCTGCGGCTAATAATAGTGCTACCATATTTGTGTTACCATGACTCACAGCTAGCATTAGTGCAGTCTGGCCATGCTTGCGTGCACGCACATTTACGTCTGCATGTTGGAATAGACGCTCCACGATAGACCGTGACTCTAACGACTGCAATGGAACAAGGCTTGCCTGTAAAAATATGGAAGTAGAGGTTACGCTAACATAGTATTAAATCTAGATCTAAAAACAAAGATTTACATCACAGCTACTATATATTATAAGCCTAGGAACTTAACACCACCAAATACAAAAACTAAGTCTGACGGACTGTTACATGTGTTTAGTAAACATCGAATTCGGGTTTGCATTTTTCGGTCTGTCTGTCATTTTATATGTCTGTTGTAAGCCCATATGAATTTCTAGCGTCTATATAGTCAGAGACATCAACATAGAATTTACATCCAAGATCAAGAGTCGGTGGGATGCAATAGATTTGTACTATCGAATAAAACTTTGGAGTTCGTTTTAGCGTTATGATCTTTGCGAAAAGTTGAACGTTTTTATGGATGGTGTGATAACCTCTTTCACTACAAGTGAGACCAATTGAGACAGCGCTTTTTTCAACTACAAAATTGAACTTTCGTTACGTACTTTCAAATATATAATCAAGGGGCGTTAATGTGAGTTTTGAGTGTCACAGCATCTCGGTATCTCCGGTGCATCTCGGACCAAGTAACATTGTATCTCCGATATTAGCAACCTTTTGTATATAAACCTGATAAAGTGTGATAGCTTGATGTTTTTTTTTTATTTTATTTATGGTGTTATTACAATAAATGAAGAATATAAATTTTCGTCTAATGTCTCTTAAGTTACAAAACTCAATGAACATCCATGTATGTATCGCAAAATTGTCCGAAATTATCTCATAGCGGGGCAACTTTTACAAAATTTGCCGTGAGATGATAAAAAACCCACATTTCCGACCTTGGAATAAAGCGACCTTTGGAAGTTCATAACCAAAATAATATGAAAAGCGAAATGGAATATACCTCCAATGTTTCATTTTTGTCGAAAATGCATTGAAAATCGAAACTAAAATTTTCGTACCAAACTACTCCGCTTTTCCCTTCTCATTTTATACTCACAAGCATTATAGCTGTATAACCCGCATTGTTGCAGCGGTTAACGTCACAAGAACCACTTTCTAGCAACACTTCCACTACTGCAAAATTCCCATGCGAGATAGCGTAATGAAGTGCTGTATTGCCATTGGCATCAGCCAAAGTAATCATGTATGTCAGTACAGCAGTTGAATGGGCTTCAAAAGCAGCTAGGTAAGCGCGTACAGTACCAGCATTTGCGCTCTCTGTGCTGGCTACGTGAAACCACTCACGCCGAGCCATGGCATTAACATGTGCCAAACTATAAGCATCAGTTTCACGTTCCAGCGCATCTCCAATGGACTCGACAGCGCTTAACATCTCTCTTGATGGCAATACAATAAGTTCATCATCGTAGCTCTCAATGTCACACGTAGCAACACTACTATATCTGGAAAAAGAAATGTTATTGTAATTAAATTACTTAAATCGAGACATATATCGACATGACTCAAAGATTCCAAAACAAAGCGCTCAGGCAGATCTTGTATGCCCCTTAGTTTGTCTCAAATGAATAAATCTATAAGGACTTAAAAGTGCCCGCTGTGTGGGAGGAGATTGTGGCATTCAACGATGGATATAAAGAGAGCATTTTGCTTCACAAAAAGCAAGCTCATCACAATGAGCTCGCTGATAAACCAGCAATCGATGAGGGAAAGAGTAGGAGGCTGCGAAATACCAGACCATCAGATTTATTCTTGTTAAGTTGATGAGATTCGTATTGTTAATTTTAGTGTGATCAGCTCCAGGAGCTGATTATCTTATTAAATTTAAATGTCTCAAATTAATCTTTATTATAGGTGCAAAGTTTATTGTACATAATGTACAGATCACTGTGAAAATAAAGTTCGACTTGAAAAAAATTATTAAAAGCCCAAACTGGTACGCTAAAAATGTATAATTGTATTTAAACAATCCACGATCGAAAATATTTTCGAGAGCGCGTTCTGTCACTCGTTAGAATTCACAAACACGATCATGTGATTTGAACTACAATCCGTATAGTCTTTCATTCTGAAGGTGTAAACGTGAATTTGCTTGACCGAGTAAAAGCCTTCAGCCTATGAACTCTTATCCAGTCTTGTAGCATAGTTGGGAGCGCGCTGAAATACCAATTCAGAGGCCCCGGTTCGAGATTGGGCAAGACAAGTGGTTGGAAATTTTTTTTCAGCCACTGTCTTGTCCAGGATAAGAGAAGCAAAGGTTGAGACTGAGGTTTCTTAAAAAGAAAATATTTTGATAAAAATGATAAACCTAACACTACCACATAGTTTAGTGCGGTTTGTGTGTTTACCGGTCAGTTGTTAGTCCAATTCAAAAAAGTTATGGCCGCAATCACACTTACAAGGTGCTCAGTTACTTAGATTTTTGGAACAAAGAACAAAGCAATAAATATGAATGAATATGAATAAATCGTTGAATGATGTGTTCATAAAGTGTTTAGAAAGAGCATTCAACAGAATAATTTGTTTCTAGTCCTCCCAAAAATTTAATTATTTTAACTATTATATCAACTTACGTTTCTCTCTCCGAGTCTTCATTGATGGCTGATAAGGGTGATTTAACAGATTCTTTCTCTGATTCCGTGCTTTCACATACAATTTTTGTTGACCACTCTTCTATCTCAGTTTGCGTAGTAGCGCTCAGCGTGTTGGTAACAGTTTGTATGGCTTTATTATGACTTTGAGGTATGTCAGTTTGTACTCGTGCGTTTGCCATAATCATTTCATTTGTCTGCTGACTCTGGGAATACAATTCAATTACTGGTTTTGATGGCTCTTCTGATACTGGGTCTGGGTCAGTCAACGTTGTAACGTTATGTACTACTGAATCTAAAGTTTGTACAGCACGTGTATCCATTATGGGAGACCATTGGCACTCTTTAGTGGCTACAGATGGTACTTCCGTTGATGTAGAATTATGAATCGAGGCCTGCGCTGCCGACTGACAACCAACATCACGTGTACATGGTGTCTGACGACTTTCCAATCGCCGTTTTTCTTCAGTCAATATATCGATTTGTAACCACAGTGCAGGCATGACCTGCAAAACCAGGGAATAAAATGTCGAATCTAACACAAATTCTAATTCATTAGGCTGAGTCAGAACCTGTTCTAGCGAAAATCGCGTAAAAAATTAAATCTCGCAAAATCAATTTTAAAAAACAACCGGGACGGCAAATATGACAAATCCAGAGGAAAAAAATTGGGTTATTTTTTCGTGGTCGTGTGTCCTTCCATCCTAAATGGATGGACTCATAGCGCCTAAATGATAAGACATGTCGACATGCGATTTTCATCGAAAAGTTGCGGAATAGCTAGAGTAATGTCAATTCTGAACCTCCATAATTTTTTTTCCGTCATTTCAAACTAGTCATACTTATTTTTAAGTCCTATATGTCAAGTGTTAATTTGGTCCCATATACAAATCTCCGTTCCACAAACATCAAGTTTCATTAGCTCATACCTCTAAAAAGCCCCCGGTCTTATCTACAACATAATGAAATTTGAAAAAAATGGTAGCTCTTTCTTGCGAAATAATCGAGTATGAAGTTACAAAAATTGTTTCTGCGGGTTCAGCGTTCATTGCAGTGGTAATACCAAATTAAACTAAGATTATGTTTAACAAACACGAATAGATTCCTTATTTTCATAGCGATTTCGAGAAAATTACAGATATTTTTAATTTTAACGCAATTATAGCTCTTAATTTTTATATAAGTTCTCAAAAATTGCATATAAATCAAGGTGGGTACCAACCTTCAGTTGTTCTTCGAGGCTTCCGATGCGTGCGATGTGACGTGCCATTTTCTGGTGCATATATTCCATGGCCCCTCCCAATTGTGGGGTGTCCAATGTTACCTCAAAATTATTTACAGCATCAAAAAGCAATTCATTTACGTCTGAAAAGCCCATCATTCTGCTCATAGATTGACGTTGACGCCTACGTTGTCGGCGTGGCGATGCTGTGAGTTTCATCGCCTCGCAATACTTAACAAAGTCCAGGTCTATGTGATAGCCATAGGGACAGCACGAACAGGAGAAGGAATACCGAGTATCATCTATAATAAGTAATAAATTAAGGGGCATTGATGAGTGCATATGTAGCTACTCACATTTGCTTGAAAGATCACTATTGTCTAGCATCATTTTTTGGGCTGTTCTTGTCCGGAAATCAATCTTTTATTTAATCACTTCTTTTAAGAAATTGACATCATTGGCACAACGGCCCAGTAGAAGATGCAACAATAAAGCGGAATTGTCTAGTGGATAGTCTCTTATAACTTATGTCAGTAGCCACCATCATTCCATGGAAATATAAAACTTCTCCTTTATATATATCATAGTAATTTTCCAACATGTTGAAAATTATTTGGCTTAATTTGACAAAAGCAAATATACTCAGTCAGTGCACTTCCAAGTGAGTAAAGTGTAACCGGAAAAACGCACTCAGCATTTTGGAGCATTGAATGTATAAAGACAATATGTAAGCTTTTTTTTTATGATATTCGAGAAAACGTGCGTCATTGTAAAATTGACGCGTTAGCATATTTTGGCTTGTACTCGGCTTCTCAGCCAGATAGTTCTCTGTCATCTAATCGGCTCTCACAAAGCTAAATTATTGACATAAATAAACAAGAAATGGCAGCAAAGAGCAAGAGAGATTTTTGAGGAGCTTGAGAATCTCCTTCCTCTATGCATTGGTTTTGCATCTCACTATAGCCGATACAGAGAGACTGGAGAATAACATTTGGCCATGGTGGGCAGATAGTGCTTTGGAATGATAATTTTTTTTATTCGGGACTAATATTTTAGTCAGTCGATGTGTCTGCAGACACGATTTCATACTTACGACACATTCTCATGACGTTTGTGAGATAGTGTAAAATAGCGCAAGAGGTCGCTAGCAATGGAAGTCGCCATTACGCTTGTGGTGTGGTGTGTTCACCATTAGAACCCTGCACCATACACGCACTATATTTATATTTTTTAGATATTAAGGCAACAGTTATAAATTAAACAGCAACACCTTCATATTGTTAAACTAAATCATAACTATTCCCCAACTCAATCAACTCTTATAAGCTTATAATTTACCCGGTAAATCTAGAATTACGCGACAGTGTGATTGTGAACTTTTGCGGGCTATTATAATTGCATAAAGCTGCATAAATTGTTGTCATGTTTAAACATTAAAAAAGTCGACGGTTCACCAGAGTAAGGTGAGTGCTGAAGATGCCGCAACAGGCCCAATTTTTTTTCCAACGACAACAGCGCCCTGCATGGAATGGCCGCAAATTTCGCTGACAGCGTGGCAACAGCTGTCACCGGCGTCGTACCTATCAAATATGTTTTTCTTATTATTTTCGCTAACGAGAGATGATGGGCCTCTTGTGAAATCAGTAAAAATATCTCTTTTACTAGTCAAAGTGAATTTCATTGGTGTTAAAACGGAATTAACAAAAATACAGATAATTCTGTTTAGAGCATATATATTTGGTATAGCTTGACATATATAATTGAACTGTAGGCACTAAGTGAACTATAATAAATCTAAATCTATCTACGAAAATCATCAAAAGTTTATGCGCTATATACTTGGCAATCGTACGCAAGCGTACATACACACACACACACACACTTATATATATATATATATATATATATATATATATATATATATATATATATATATATGTACATAAATAGCGTGGGCAATTATTATACGCTCAGCATAGGTCTTCGGGGTCTAGGTGGTCTGGGACAAAAACAAATATGGTATTTGATTGTCTATCGGTAGACAAAACAAAACCTACTGTTCCCTCCGCTGGAGCCTATGGATTCTAGGGAACTGTAGAACTTTTTGAGTGGGCAATAATTATAGGCTCACTTGGGAAATTACTCATTCAATCTTTTGGGAACTAAACTGCATACTAGTTTTGCCATATATTGTCAGACTGTGAACTTAACTGTTACTAGTATAAGTGGCTTACGCGACCAATGAAGCGAGTTTTCTGTTTTTTCGGGGAGATCGGTTTTTAAGTCGTCGGCAGACGCACGCTTACACTTCTAATTATTATTATTATTATTATCATTATTATTATTATTATTATAATTATAATTATTATTATTATTTTTATTATTATTATTATTATTATTATTATTATTAATATTCTTATTATTATTATTATTATTATTATTATTATTATTATTATTATTATTATTATTATTATTATTATTATTAGTATTATTATTATTAGAAGTCCTTAAATAATGGTCTCCGTGGACCCCAATATTTAAAGTCTTTGCCCTGCATACCATAATATTTCAAAATGGTTCCACTGCGTTGGGGCTGGGGGGGGGGGGGGGGCATGACTACAAACTGCTTCAAAGATCTTGACTAAAGCCTTTTGATCATAATTGGGAATTCCAATCATGGAACCGATCGTGCATCCTGGACTCCTTCCAGGGAATTTTTCTTCTTTTGCGGGCCAAACTCCCGGATCACCTGTAATGAAACGGGACAAAAATTCTTCGGGAACTACTAGGAAACCTGTGGTCGTGTTGCAAATGTTTGAACATGACAGAGTGCGAAACATTAAGCCAATAATGACTAATTAAAGCAGCTCAAGCGGTTGCTTTTGCATATTTCAATTAAAACATTTACTTCACTGGTATTTCGTCCTTTATTCCTATATATAAAATATAGAATTTAAAACTACTTATCGGTCGGTAAGCTGAAAATCTTCGAATTGGCTTACAAAAATATTCCCACGCGATACTAAGACAGAATGATTTCTGGATGCTTATCATTCTTCCCAAATCACATAATCGAGGCGCCGTTTGTTTTCATTCGTTGTTGAAAATTTCGATCAGATTATCAGAAAATACAGAATCGATGGAATGACCTCTTATTTATGTGAAAAAACCGTAAATGCTTGAGAGTTTGTGTGTAAAAATGTGGAAATGATAAAATACTACGGTTTGTTAAGACCGTAGTATTTTAAAAAGAATGTCCTCTGTTGCAAATTTTGCATCTATACCTGAGCAAAATGAAAGCTTATTATGCTTAAATAATAATAAAGTTTATTCGCCTCTATTGGTGTGTGCGTCTGCCGACGACTTCAGGACCGACCTACCCATAGCAAGTCACAAGCAATTTTAAGTCACATGGCAAGCAGATTTATTCACTTTAGGCTAAAAATTATAATGAAATGAAAGTAGAAATGCATTGACTAACAAATATGCAATATTATTTGGTAAATATTATTATATAGCTCGGATTTACATCACAGCTAATATCTGTAATCGCCCAAAAATCGAAAATTATTTGTCATTCCATTGAACAATACTCTAGAGACAACAATATTGTACCGTAAAATACTTTATTATTATTATTATTTCCGGATTACAATTTTGTAGGGTCTGCCCCTCTGATTAAAATTGCAAGTGAGTTGAAATAAAGAAAAGAAAAAGAGAAAGAAACTAAAAATAAATTAAGCCAATTGAATGTTAATGAATAGCTACGCAGTATTATCAACTAGGAAGTGTCTCCTAATCGCACTGACCGAGATTCTACTAGCGCGAGGGAGTGAGTTGTATATCGACACTCCAGACACGAACAAAGTGCGGAAGTAAGCTTCAGTAGACGAGCTCGGAACCAATAGCTCCGTACCCTGGCCGAGGTGCCATGCGCCAAAAGCGAGGAGAGGTATCGAGGGCAACCAGTCTTCAGGAGGCGACAGATGGAGGTGACAGCCCTTAATTTAAGAAGATTCGGAAGATCACAACCGATTAGGACACTACTGTAGGGAGAGATGTGATCTCTGGGCCCCAGACCACAGACGTAGTGAGTACAGTTGTTGAAGGCTACCGACAACTGCCTGATGGACGCGCATAAAAGAGTTCTGGCCCGTATGTGAACTGAGGGATCAAGAGCGACCTGGCGAGAAGGAGTCTGGTGTCATGAGAAGTGACACCCCGGAAGCGTCTTAGGGAGTATAGCGAGAAATTTACCTTGCGTCGCAAGGAAGAGACATGATCGGATCAAGTGAGATGGGAATTGAAGAATATGCCCAGATTGCGTACGTTTTCCACAAGGGGGATTACCTCACCTCCAAGAGTAAGAGGGGGAGTAGAGAAATTATGAGAAGGTTTGCAGACAACGATGGCCTGGGACATTTTTGGATTAAGAGCCAAGCCATTGACAAGCGACCAGCGCTCAACAGCAATGAGATTTGAATTCATTAAATCGAAGGCAGGGGAGGGATTGCAAGGGTCACCTTCTACATATATTTGAAGGTAAATAGATGAAAAAGGCAGCCATTCCAGACAGCAGGTAGATCATTGATAAACATAGAAAAGAGCAGGGGGCCAAGGATTGAGCCTTGGCCAATGCCATTATTGAGCAAGCGAAGTGGCGAGACATCATCGCCAAATTTGACAAATTGAGATCAACAAGAGAAGTAGGACCTGATAAGAGAAATTGCCTAGGATGAGAAATTGAATGAGTTTAATAACTTTAAGCAGAATAGATCATGTGGCAAGCTGTCAAAGGCTGTCAAAGGTAAAGTCAAGGAGAACTAGAATTACAAATTTATTGCTGCCAATAGACTTGGCTAGGTCATTGGTAATCTTTAAGAGGGCTGTAGTGGTGCTATGACCAGCTCGGAAGCCTGATTGGAAATCGTACAGGAGTTTGCGATTGAGCACATGAGCAGAGATTTGTGAGTGTAGGACAAACTCAAAAGATTTAGACAGAGATTGGCCTGAAATCAGAGGCTAGCTTTGAATGCGTTGTTCTAATAAAAATGACTTAGTTACTTATATGATCTTAATATCCCTTTGAGGAACACAGCCTTCTCAATTAAAGGCAAGTTTTTGTTTTACGATGGCAAATTGTCAGTTTGCCAACCATATATATATATATATATATAGAGAGAGAGAGAGAGAGAGAGAGAGAGAGAGAGAGACCGGGACAGAGTACAAAACGATTCCAGTGAAGTGTATATTTCAGCTGGAACATTCTTATTATATTATTTTTATTATACCCCATTTATATAGAAATTATAATAATAATAATAATTATTTTATCTGGCTGTGGCGGTGAAGAGGAGAAAATACTGCATTCAAATAAATCACTTTTATAAGAGAATATGTAACTATTTACCTGATTCTCTAGGAAATCATTCAATATATTTCCAAGACTTTTTAAAAAGTTTTGAACACATGCAACTACTCTCAAGTCTTTTAAAGCTGAAACTGTAATGAAAATTTATATGTATTAAAAGTTCTGATATTCATCAACAATATGCAATAATTAGTAAAGCTATAAGTCGTTTTCTTTATATTTCAGATATTACATTGCAAGACACTGTGTCCTGCTGTGAGTGTAACTTTGTCTAGAAACGTGACTAAAACACCACAGGAACGACGTGGACACCAGCGAGATCGCAGAGTGGCGGTTGTGGTGACAGGGAAAAAATCACATTACAGGGCGTAACGTGGACGGCAAAGGTGCAGAGAACACCGAGTGAAAAGTCACCACGCTTCCAAACCCATTTTCTTTACGCCAGACGCCATCGTGCAGATTTGGGGAATATGCGGATGACTCAAGATATGGATGACGACGAGAAAGGGTGAGAATTTAAACAATATGGAATTGTCACATAAGGAGATTTTTCATAAAAAATTATTAATTTCGGAAGAAATGGAAACATATGTATCCCAATCATTATCTTTTAATATACTGGTAAAACTCTCAATTCATTTTCACTCAAGTGACGATTCAGAGCAAAAATCCTCCTTTAGCGTCAATTATGACGTACTTCAAATATAGTAAATTGTGTCTTTCATATAGTATAGTATACTGTAACACAATTACGGTTATCCTCCTCGCAATATTGGAAATTAAAATAAGAAAGTAAAGTGAACATGACGAGTAATAACTAATACTTAGCTGTTTTTAACATTGTTATTGTTGCATTTTCTACGTGCAGTATTAGGAATAAGGTTAATTGGTCAGTCTTCTCGCCATTTATTTTTGACTGGGTACGCATGATGGATTAGATTTCAGCGCAGTCTAAGTAGTTGTCTGTACCTTTTCTTCTTACTTTCCTTTCTTTTTTTATTGTTACAATATTTCGGCATAAATTGTGCTCGCTGAGTCTTATTTCTTGTTGTCATTTTCATGCTGAGCCATGAATATATGTAGCGATTCGAGTGTATCCTACTCCTTGTTCTCTATGCTGCGGTCTATGATGGACACATAATCAAATATAAAATCATGTCGAACTGTTTTTGTGTGTGTGGCGAGTGCACTCACATTGTTTTTCACCACTTATCATCGCATCTGTCCTATACTTTTCGTATGTTTTCTCATTCTGTGTTTCAGTTTTCGCATAGTCACACGTATATAGGACAGAATTAATATTTTAGATAGGATAGATAGATATTTATTGATCACAGCATGTATACACTTTTTATCAAAATTATTTTATTTTTGATAATTAAACATAGAAATTCTATTCCATACATGCAGAACTACCATATGCAATTGAATTTTTACTAAAAATATTTCATTCGTCACAGGAAACTTTTCGTAGGTGGCTTGTCATGGGAAACAACACAGGATAATTTACAAAGATATTTCGCACGTTACGGTGATGTGATTGACTGTGTTGTAATGAAAAATAATGAATCAGGCCGATCACGTGGTTTTGGCTTCGTAACATTTGCGGATCCCGGAAACGTTACGCATGTGCTGCAAAGTGGACCTCATAATTTGGATGGGCGTACAATTGATCCCAAACCCTGCAATCCGCGCACCCTTCAAAAACCAAAAAAAGGTGGCGGCTATCCAAAGGTTAGTAAAATTCATACTAGATTTCCAAAATTCTAGCCCTTCAGGGAGCCAAACTATTTACCTGCAGCCAAACAAGTCACTAAACTATGCGATACAATTTCTCTCTGAATCTCGCTCTTAATCGACGGATGCTCCGAAGACTATCATTATTCATCTCTCGTTAGTTATGTATTTTTGGATTGATCCCAGAAAGATCCTGATTTGTTCCGTTACTTCAAATCAGATTTATATTAAACTACGTATGTAGAAAAATTTTCTATACTACGCTGTTTAACTTTGAAAACATCGTTCTAGACATTATTTAAAGTTTTTTTTGTGTTTTAATAATGTACGGCCACAGGCATTTTTGCCCATATGGCCATTATTTAAAGTTAAGATTTGATAGATTTTAAAAAGGAATATTACATTTATTGGATCATTTATCTATTGTTGACTGTGACTTTCTGGTCAAAGCATTTGATTCTCAACGCTGCAGTCGTATCTTCTAATCCCATCCATTGCAAATTATGAAATACGACAGAATGCAATTAAATTAAGTCTTTAGATGGAAAATGAGTGCAGCCGTTCAATGATGCTTCACTGGGATTATCTTTCGTGTTTTTTTTCTAATATATTAAAGGTAAATTTTGGAACTACTTGAAACACCAAAAAGAATGCAAGACAATCTTACATTGGCCGAGATGGTAAAAATGCTTACACAAGAATAATATAAGTGACTTGCATTATTTTTGTCGTCAGGAATGTGCAAAAAAATCTTACAGTAAATGATCGTAAAAAAGATAAATAAAAATTGATAAATAGCAAATTCATGACAAGCATGTCATAAAAGTAAATATCATGAAGCAGTTTTTTTTTAAATATCTAATTAAAAATTGATCTCGGATTAATTGTCTACAATGTAAAAGGCCTAAATAAGGCTGTTTGTATAGCGACATGGACTGAAGTTGCAATCCGACATGGATTATAACTTAGGACTAGATGTTATGTGTTTTATCAATTTTTTAAGCGCACACATTAAAAGCGTCACATATTCTCATTTAACTCTCATCAATAATTAGGTGCTGGATTGAGAAACGAATCAGTTTTCAGATGAAGCCGGTCAAATTGTGACAAAGTCTTTATGTCTCTGCGTGTTCGATATATGTAAGCGCGATGAGTTAATTTAATGAGAAATACCTGATTTGGTTTCAACTTATATCAACAATCTCAGTGTCATATCCCACTACGATGACGTTGTGACACAATTAGATCAGTTGATCACACTATCATATTCATGAAACGGGCAAAACCAATGGTAATAAATGGATCAAGTGACGAAGGAGAGATTATTTTGCTGGAATCGCTTTACTGAATACTTGTGATAGTCTGCGAGGTAACTGTCGAGAAATAAATATTCTTGAATGAATAAATACACACGTACCTAATACTTGAAAAATACTTTAATGTCATGTATGCAATTAGGAAAAATAATATAGACTTGAATCCGTATTGTGTTTCACACAGACCACTTTGTTCAATTGACATTTCGTTCTAGAGATTTCAGGTGTTAACGAACGGCATCATCATCTTCTACCCTATTTATCAGTTGGTGGGGTCGATAACTACACTGAACTGAAAATGTTCTCGGTTTCTTGTCTTTTCTGTTTTTTTATTGGGCGATATCGTCAGGCACAGCCTTCATTATGTGAAGTCCAGCTTTTGAGAAAATTCCAACTCGCCGCGCGAGATGCCCCGGAGCACCTCTGCTCGTACATCTAAATTTGGGCACAGAAAGAAAAATTACAGTAATGTAGTTTTTCCATTCAATTTTGTACTCATCAACATTTTCTATATTTTAACAGGTGTTCCTTGGTGGTTTACCCTCAAATGTGACTGAAACGGATCTACGTGTGTTTTTTGGACGATACGGAAAAGTTATGGAGGTTGTAATCATGTACGATCAGGAGAAGAAGAAATCCCGTGGTTTTGGTTTTTTATCTTTTGAGGACGAGAGTAGTGTTGAACGCGTCACTAATGAACATTATATCAATTTAAATGGCAAGCAGGTAAGTTTACTGAGCGACACTTGGTTAATTGAAGTGAATATCATATCTTGCTATTGTACAGGTGGAAATTAAAAAGGCGGAGCCGCGCGATGGTACAGCATCAAGTAAAATCAACAGTGGCGCAGATGCTAATCAGTGGGGCCCACCCCATGGGGCACCTATGGGTATGCTGCAAGGCCCTAACGGTCAAATTAATGCTCCACCGCTTAATATAGCTATGGGCGCTCCAAACATGATGCAAAGCTATCAGGGCTGGGGTACGTCGCCACAGCAGCAGAGCTACGGTTACGGAACACCGAACGCCCCTGGTTCTTACCAAGGCTGGGGCGCCCCACATGGACCACAGGGTCCGCCACCTCATCAATGGGGTAATAACTATGCTACGCAACAGACCCAGGGATATGGGAGTTATGGTTTGTATTGATATTCTATTAGTACATGTTTAAAATATTTTTTTCCTTTCACAAATGTTAGGTTTCGAGTTCATAGCGCTTACTAAAAACCACATCAGTTTCATCATTGCGCTGAAAACCATGAACAACAACATAAAATAATAATAAGTAAATCAATATTATGGATATTATATTTTCTGGGCTCACTTTTACTTACTGATTTTATCTCAGTTAGAGCTGAGCCCTCATTTCTAAGATATATAAAATTACATCCAAGAAAATAAAAGTAAAATTATATGCAAGACTTTAAAACAACGACATCCTAATTAAGTTCTCTAATTTTGGGACCATAGCAAAAAACTTTCCAATTATTAAAAAAACCACAAGTCGATATGTTACCACCGGTTATGCATAAAACTCCATATGTTATACAGAAAAAGTTTCAAATTTAGTTCCTAATTTTATGCAACACTTTGATATACATTGGTTTAGGTTTTGATGATTTTGGGCTCCTTGATCGATAGCAAATAATAGCTGTGATGTAAATCCCAGCTCCTTATATAAACAATAAACTGAATAGAAAAACAAAAGAAAACAACAATAATAGCAAGTTTCCTAATCAAACCACGATTTTTTTTCCATAGATATGTACAATTCAACTACAGGACCGAGCGGCGCCTCTGGTGCTGGAAATTGGAACGCTTGGAATATGCCGCAAAATAGTGCTGGAACAGGGGGTTCGGGTAAGTTTTACACGTAAACAATAAAATGAACTTAATAAATAGCTTCTTTCTCAGTTGCCGAACGCTTTCTCACTGGTGACATATATCCGAGAACGCAGTCTGGTCCTGGAGGTCCAACAGGTACTGGGCCCACAACTGGTATGCCGCCTGGTGGTCCTGCCAATACCACTTCAAAGCCTAGCTCTGAGTACAGTAGCTATGGTTCAGGATACGGTGAGTGATTTAACTTTTTACGAAATTTTTATATAAATGATATACGTGATATGGGCATACCATGTTTTATAGGTATGTTAGGGAACTATACGAATGATCATACCACATCGTATGGCACACGGACAACGTATGGGAATGAAAGTACTTCTCAACCCCCTTATGCCGTGGCTCAGCCACAGGGTGAGTAACATAGTGATGAAAGCAAGGTGAAATGTGTATTAGGAAAGGGGAAACTAAAAAATAGAAATAATAAAGACTAAAAAAAACATTTACGTAAGCGCTTAAGAATACGTTCTGAGTAAACGTTGAAACTACTTCACTTTCAGCTTTATATCACAAGACGGCAATGAACTAAAAAGGCAACAAATGAAAAACTATCTGATCCGAACACCTGTTGCAAACAAGAAATGTAGATTTACGAGTATTTTAAGCTTGCCCTTTCAAGATTTAAACTAGATAGCTCGTGCTGAAAACTAATTATTATAAAAGACAATCGAACTCATCAAATAATACATATTTTGCAACCAACTGAAGTTTTCAATTTATTAGTGGCAAAATTTAGGGCCGACCGTATTTCAAATTTACCAAAAGCAAAAGAAAACAAAAAAGGCAAGCTAAGAATGACAGATTACTGAAATAATAATACTAATTCATTATTTATAATGAAAGATTATTGAAAAATTTATCTAATCTTGTTCGATTCTTAATTAATGTGAACAAATTTGGTTAAAACTCATTGAGATGAGCAAGAGCCAGCTCTATTGAAATTAATTATTAATCTCACTCTGCTGTATTTGGATATTTGTAAACGGTGTAGTTCAAACACACGACTGTAGCATTTAAAGCCAAATGCTTTGAGTCAAAGTCATAGTCGCCTCATTTAAAAATTTACAAAACATAAATTATTTCCCTTTGCCACATCTACGATTTTTTTTTCATTTGTTGCTTAATTCTAACCAAAAAAGTTTTACTGTTGAATGTGATGATAAAATTGTTATTTTATTGACACCATCTGAGAAATCATACTGAACAAACGTAGCTTTTTTCACAAATTGCAGAAGATATTGACGAATTTGCAGCAGCTAATTATTTTTATATAGCTTATTTCGACTGAATTATAACAAATTTTGCCGTTTAGATCCATAATTAGTATATATTTTTTATTTATCTTTAATCAACATTGTTATTTCCCACTAAACTTTGATGACTTTTTGTTCAATTCCAGATGAATTCCTCAAGCAATATTAAGAGGTTTGAAAAATGCTTCTTTACCATCACCACTATTGAATTGATTTCAACTATAGCGATTTTCAGTGCTTTGTAAGAGGGCGCCCCAATAGTATTTCATGGCTGAGTGTCACATAGCTGCATATAAATCGACAGAGATATTTTGTCCGTTCATGTGACTCTCTCAATCGTCGCTGTTATCACGACATGTAAATATGGTTACTAAAAATTGGGTAATTAATTACTGGTGACCACTCGCACAAAGAAAGCTATTTCAAAGTATTTTCATATGTATAATGCTTTTTAAATAAAATTTACAATAGCGTTTTCTATAACTTTTAGTGTTAACTTGTTTCTTTCTTAATTCGTCAACTTTTTTTTTAATTTAATTATTATGTCTTTTGTAACATTTCACTCTCAGTACTTTCTATCCCTACAAAAGTTTTTTGAATAAACTTTTTTTTTTAGAAAAATATAAAGATGATAAAAACATTAAAGAAATTGCAGTGGTTAAAAAATTAGTTAAATGTATATATTAGTGAAGAGAGTGTAGTTATTGAAAATGTTGTCTAAACAGGTCATTTTATGGTCATATTTTTTAGTTTCATATTTCCTCTTTCTCGCGAAAGCATATCACATAAAGATAAACCTCGTTGGCAATGGTTATTTCGGCCTCTGTCTTCATTTATTATCTACCTGCTTAGCTCAACATTACCCCTTTACAGCACCAAAAGGGATAATAGTATAGAAGGCAACTAAATCAAAAGTTTGAAATATATATATCATGTAAGATACTAGGATATATACACAACTACACATGCGCCCTCTTGCGGCTTTACAAAACTTTGAGAAAATTCTGACCTCATTCGGAATCCCTGAACCTTCCCCAATCCTTAATAATAGTAAATTGAAATTTTTGTAATTCTTAAATGAAAGACAAACTTGTTTGAAATGCAATCAAATATAACAGAATAAGAAAAAAAACACTATTGAAATAATTAAATATTAAATTGTATTTACAGAATAAGAAAATCTTATTAATATGATCAATTTAGAGACAAACATGTGTAAAAGAGAAAAGAACATACATTGAAAATTAATACGGTAAGAAGCTTTTATATGAAAATAGCATAAAAGCAAGGGTAAAATGTTTTAATAATTTTTGTTTGTCAATGTTACTTTAAAAATAGAGTTAATTACTATGATAGAAAAGTTGCAGGAGACAGTAAAAATAATTTTTGTTGAATCAGGAAATACTGAGAAGATCTGGTAAAAACATTATATATATATATATATATATATATATAATATATATATATAACAAAACATAGGAAATAATAAAACATTGGAACACATACGCTAATTTAGCAAGATGCACTTACAATAATTGTACATATATACTGAAATGAACTAATAATAGATAATGTAAAGAAAAAAATCAAGAAGTTTTAATGAATGAAGAAACTGTTTTACTTTGGAACATTTCATGCTGCATATAAATAAGCGTATATATATATATATAAGCAGAGAACATAAGGAAAATATTGTACTACATATACAAATATAAAAATGAGAATTATACATACAACCTGGAATAATTAATAAATAAAATTGACTACACTAATTAAATACACAATGGTGAAACATCACAAATATAAGAATGTACGGATGAAAGAAATATTATAGGATTTGAATATCTAATACTGAAATATGATGTTTCAGTTAGCATTTTAGTGTTTTAGAGTTTAAAAATTACCAATAATGATTAAAACAATTGAGATGATATACATTATATATAAGATGAATGATACGTTTTCAATGTGATTTAAAATACAGCAACAAAAATTTACAAAAAAAAATATGAGACAAAATAAACGAAATGAACATACTACGAAGCTTGTTTTTTAATTTTTTGGTAGATTGCACTTCGAAATTGAAAAAAAAAAATATTATATTAATAATAATGAAACATTTAGTCACACTCTGCCTATGCAAAACCATGTCTGTTTATTCATGATTACTGTTAACAGAGCAATCAATGATATATTATCCTAGCGAGGTACACAGAAATGGGATCTTACAGAGCTTGTCCACATGCGATTTGCGACATTGTAAAGGGTAGCAGAGGAAAATTGCTCATGATCTAGGTTCACGAGAACTTCTTCGGACCTTCCCCTCCAATCCAATAATAGGTTCACGAGAACGCGTTGCGATCGCAGAGTGTATAACTGATTACTGCTAAGATTTGAGATACTAAGTACGTGTCTCATAGAACACAAAGAGAGGGGGAAATAGTGAATAAGATAAAAAAAAAAAACAAAATCGTTGTAAAATGTGGTTGAAAGTGTAGTTTAATTTGGGATGGAATTGGGTAAAAAAAAAGATAAACACAGTCATTCCGATCATCCAAGTGTATGGGTGCGATTCGATGGTTAGAGAAAAAAGGAAAAAAGACAAATTCAGGGACAGCAACCAATGAAAGGCATCATATAAGGATTATTCCATGCAGGAAGGAAAATTGTTTTTTTTTTATAACTGAAAAGAATTGTGAAAATACAGCTTTCTTTTTTAATCAATATGTTTATTTGAAATTTAATGCTTCTCTTTCCATGAATTGCATTCCAAATGTTTTCAATTTCCCTAAAATTAATAACTACCATGACACTGTAAATGTACCTCACAGATAAAAACTCATCTTTAAAATTTAGAAATTGATATGAGAACACCACCTTTTGAATAAAGCAGATAATAGATGTTGGTGTCAAATATAAGATAAGCATTCTGAAGGTCAGAAAGCACTTACATATTTCACTACATAGTGTCGGCAAGTACTTCACAATCCCCACTCTTATCGATCCGAATTTCATACAATTTCATGTGTATAACACAATTTTACGGTAAAACTAGATATGGACATGGACTACCTTATGCCTCGACTATAGGTGTCAATTATTTTACACCTAGAATTTTGTTAAAAAGGAAATTGCACGCAATTCGATTCGATATGCAAGAAAAACTTACCGACATTTCAACGTAGTGATATAAAGGCCTAAGTCAAAAAGCGCGCCATAATTAAATTAGATGGGCCTCATTAAGCAAACCACACGTCACAGATGATGATCTTCATGATGACATCACAGGTGGATATAACCTGTTTAAGTGCGTTCAAACACATATTCGGTGAATGGGTGATCACAATTGATTGGTTGGCAGTGGAGATGTAGACCGATAAAGGGTTAACTTAGAGTCCCATTCACTCCAATGTGAAAACAACAGGCTCCATAAGTGGGGTATCATTGGATAAGCTTTGATCTCAGCTACAAGATTGTAAAATTAAAAAAATGCAAGATGTTTTTCAGGTATCTCACTTTTAAATTTGGAAATAGGTTTTGCGACTAAAGCATCTCTACTGGTGAAGACCTTAGACCCTATCTAAACGTTGGTAGAAGAAAAAGAATACAGACAAGGTAGAACAGGACAAAATCTCAATTTTTCATCTTTATAAAAAAAAGGTGCAAAAATTATTTACTCGAAAAAATCACCCTAATTAAAAAAAATACATATTTAACGAGATACTGGATTTATGTGAAGAGTGGTCCATCCTCTGAATGATGGTGTGACCTGCAGTAGAGGGTTTGGTGCTTTCTCCTTCTTCTTCGACCTAGTAATTGCGCTAAAGGCGTTTTGTCTAATATGGGACTTGTTCATCATATACCGTGGCAATAATAATAATATATCCAAAAATATTAGAGATGAAAGATATGGTAATTGTTCTCATATTTGCCATTTCAAACTGAGCTCTAGCGTGATCCGGAACAACATTAAAACAACGTTTGTTATCCCATTGACGAGGATGATTTCTACCAATCTTCTCGATTGTGTCCACACTCTACCCTGGGACGCACATCACTCTACTTGCTATTATTCTAACTTCGAACAATTTTTGCACATACCACACTTTAAAACTCAATATTACTCTTTGTCGCTGAATTCGTAAAATAGTTTTTCTTCGCAAATAACGGAAGAGTAACAATAAAAACAAAAATTTCTTTAATTTAATTCATTCATTCATATACACTATATATTTTGATATGTATGAAAATCCTGGGTATTTTATTAAAATTTTATTTTCATCTCTTATTTTCTTTATAATCAGTAATTAATTACAGTTGCATTTTTTGTTGCTGAAGAACACCATGAGTATAATTCAAATACATTGATTATTTTCCGTTGCAAATTATATTCCGTTCACCTTATTATTTTATTTTATTTATTTTATTACTTTCTTATTTTCGTCTTGTTTTTGCAACTTAATATGTTTTAATTATTCCTGCACACATGTTGCTATAGTTATTATTCCTATCGCACTCTTTATTTTAAACACTATTGGCGAGATTTTATTACTTTTAATTTTTTGGCGAGACGGTGAGAGATTCGTTACTGCTAATGATTTATGACAGATCTCTCGTGCTACAAAATGTTATACTTCTGTGCTCACTTGTCTTCAGTTACATACATCTAAACAATGTTTTATAATCTAATTGAAATAGCTTCTGTTTCATGTCTGCCCTATTAATAGAGTTCTTCATTGTTAAGATCTAATCGACTTAATGTAGTCTAGTCAGTTTCTATCGTCTTCTATTTTTCCTTGCATGATTCTAATTCTATTTTCTAAGTGATAAAATATTAATTTTCATATCACGCACTTTCACTCAAGTCTATTGGTTATTTAGTTCTTGGTTGCTTTTGGATTAGTAAACATAAATCTCATCTTATCTAGATAAAATTATACCTCAAATCTTCGCATGACATTTAATTATATTGTTTCGACTGTCTAACATTTTTTCCATGTCCATAATTGTCTTAGTTTAGTAAAGTTAGTTGCCTTGTTGGCGGATTGACAGATCATCTTAACTGTGGCGATCACTGATTATTCGCCCAAACCCTGGAAAAGTCACAAATGTCAAGCTTAAACATAACAATAGATACAACTAGTTATTTATCTTCTTGTATACAATTAAAAAGCTATTTTCACGGTCACATTAGTTTCTACTCCTTGTTTTGCTTCTTTTTGTTCTACCACGTACATTTTTATTTCAAAACTACACCGATAACTAATTCTATTTTCAATATTTTACCATTTTTCTTTCAAATTTCTTACCTAGTCATCCTTATATTTTTTTTTATATATTAATATTTTTCTATAATAAATTCTACAACTTCATTTTGAGATGACTTACATACTCTTAATATTTAAATTCAAATAGCAGTCATAAGGTTTCTTTTTGTGTATTTTGTTTCACTTGTATCCTATTTTCACCGTGTTTCTTTATTTTTGAGGTTTTTCCCTCCTTCTGATTCCTTAAGCGCAAACGACTTATTGCCTAGTGCCCAGTGACATATATTTTTTGTATCTTGTGTTTTCATCGCTCCATTCTATTTCTCTGTGTTTTCCGCTACATGCCTATTATTTTATTTTCTTCATTTAATGAGTTATAGGAACAGAGAAGGCGCCTCACCATTGGTTTCACAATCATTATATAAACATATATTAGTGTTTGTGTGTGAGAGATATATAAATGCATTCATTATTTAATTCTGAGCCTATAGAAGAACGATACTCCTATATCTATTTATCATAAATCAGAAAAAGTGTGCAGTGATTGGAAGTAAAGCATAAGCGTTTAGAATCGTCTCATTTAAATCATGGTAATGTTATACATAGAATAAAAAGGGAAGAAATATAGAAGAAAAAAGAATAAAATTCTTTCATATAAAAAATGTCACGTTCTAAAATCGAAAAAAAATCCGGGTGGTTACATCAACTCAAAATTATCAAAAAAATTTGATCACAATGTTAAAAGTTAACTAAAAGAATAATTTAAGTAGAGAAAAGATGAAACTATTTCAAATATTTCAAAATTTAAACCAAAAATATATATATATTTTTTTTTAATTAATTTTGGTTACATTCGATGATATTATTGGACTAATTTTAAGAAGTCTGCAATATATTAAATTAGGAGTTTATTAATGTCCCGATTTGAATATTACAAAGAAATGGATCGTTATAATGTGAACCATTCAATACTATATAAAATTTTAGGAAATATTTTAGAAATTATCATAAGGATTATATTAAACAATAATAAACATTATTAATGTTATGATTAAAATTAAACAAGATACTGAATAATTTATATGCCCTTTTAAAAATACTATTACTGAATTTATAAGTGAGGCTTGAGAATTGGAACTATAAATTTTCACAGCCTTTGTATACATGACTATGTAACTTACCATAGCTTTCATCGACTTTTGACTGTCGATTTCCAATTCTCAAAGAGTTGTAGAAAAGATTCTTTTTTACATCATATACGTCATGCTTTCTAATAATGAATGATGCGATGATATGGAAGCAAAACAAGTAAAGATATTAATATTATAAAATCAAACTACACAAGACCCAAAAGAAAATTATTTCATAGAGTCGTTACTGCGTCTAAGAGTTAGTCTCAAAGAAAATAGACTTCGTTGCTGAATGCAACTAGCCAACATGGTGTGAAGGGCATCCTTGCGAAAAAAAAGTATTAAGTACGGCTTATGTAAGAATAGCTAAACATCGCTTAGCTTCCGACTTGTTTCATGGGTTCTCATAGTTCAATTTTTTTGAACTTCCCTATATATCGGCCAAATCGTTTAGTTCAAAAAACAAATTCTCATGATAGGTTTTACTGAACCATCTATCTTCCAAAGTGCAGAAATATTAATTACATGACTAGAAAAAAAGAACAGAATACAAATGATATGCGGAATAGTCTCACTTAAAAACTTAAGGTGTAGTAGTGATCAAGTGATTCACGATGTCTACTGAAATCTAGTCTCTTGTGTCGCGTAGAGCGAGTATATAGGCCAAAAATGAACCCAAGTTTATGTAAGTGAAGAATAAAGGTTACAGTTTGCTTAGTGTTTGAATGATTCTGGTTGCGATACTGACCAAAAATCTTTCGAAAATATTCTAAACCAATTTTCAAAGATAATAGCGAACTGATAAAACAATATTACGGTAGACGCTGTTACTCTATATTAGCTACACATTTTTCAATTGGCTCATTACGAATATTTCTTTAATCATAAACATTTCAAATACAAACAGAAAAAATTCCCGAAAAATTGAAATTTTTCATCGACTTTTTCGTGGAAAGATAGCCTTATTTGGGACACTGTCCGACTTGACACGTCATGTAAAGTTGCTATGAACATCGTTTTAGAGTTCTGTAAATGTATCTTAGAGCGCATATTTAGTTTTCTTAATCATTGTAAAATTCATTGAATACGTTATCGTATAATATTTTATCCAAATTCTATTTCTTTCATTATAACAAATAGAATTTTCACAATTATGTAAGGAAACATGAAGCAATTTGAAAGAACCTGCAGTAAAAAAAATTGAATTTTATATATCACTGGAAAATAAAAATAAATGCAAAATTTATTTAAATTTAATCGGTTCGTCTTTGTGTAGATTTTAGCCTTTTTTGTTAAATAATTTGGTCAGAAGGCTAAGTTTTAAACAGGTCAATATCAGAGTTAACAGAAACTTTGCAGGAAGCAATCGTTTTTCAACTTGTGCTTTGTGCAAAGTTCAGGTGATCCGAGAAGAAAATGATAAAAATGTTGACGGAGCTTAATGTTTACCTTTTACGCTAAAACTCGTTACGGAGTGTTCCGTTGCAGTTTAAGCGGACCAAAGAACAACCCCGGGGGATAAATGTACAAATTTGTATTATATTTTTATCGCAACCATATTGTATTAGCGCAAATCGAGGAAAACCAGAGACATAATGCAACTAACAGACGTTATCTACGTGCCTCAAAAGATAGTTTAAACTTGGTCTGTCACATCGTTCTTTTTTGTTAAGTACATTCTTTACTGAAGGCGATTAAAACATAAATACTCTGAGTAAATTAAAACATTTCTATGATACTCATCTCCTACTAAATTTCAATTTTAGGTTTTTTATGTGAATAAAAACATGTGAATAATGATTATATAAATAATATCTGACTACTAAAAAGGACTTGAAATACTATAAAGCTCCCGGCGAGTACATTGTTCTGATCAAGCTGGTGAAATAAGAGAGTTTAGAGCTATACAATTGCATTCATAAGCTCATCCGTTAGGTGTGGACTCACAAGAGGATGTCGAACGACTGGAATTTGGCCATGAATATACGAATAAACAAGAGTAATAAGAATAAAAGCGATAGAACTTTTATGGTGCTATTTAATAGGTTGATGTCGTTCGCCGCGAAGACGTTTTGAGAATACTAGGCGGATTTATGTGCTGATAGATCGAGTTGTTTAATGTGTGTCAGGCACGGGGGAAATACTGGGCATATTACCTAACGCAGCACAAGTTGTTTGTAGACTTCAAACAGGCGCATGACAAAAAAAGACAGAAGCAGACTGTGGGTGGCCTTTCAATATTTTGGAATTTAACCGCAACTGATGAGGTTGGTAAAAATGACGATATTTCAGTCGTAAAAATGCAGTGACAGCAGTATCGGTTATTTTGTTTGTACATTTTGATCTACGGCAGGGGAATGTATTGTCTCACGTCATGTTCAATCTCACCCTTGAACATGTAATGAGATCTTCCGAGAATAATCAACAAAAGTGCATGCAGTATAAGTAATTCTAAATTTTCACATATGTGAATGACTTTAATGTAATGGGTCACAAAGGGGTGGCGGACAATGTAACCTTAGTCAAATTGGCTGTCAAATCGAAAACCATGAGTTTTAAAGTCAAACAGCAGAAGACGAAATACATGGTGACCGATACAGTAGCACAGAATTTACACTAGAATGTCTTGGTTGATGATTCAAATTATCAGATCGACAAAAGTTTCAAATGTCTAGACTCAGCAGTAAAGAAAAGATAGGTAAAAAGATGTGTCGTTCGTGTTACAGGAAATTACAATGTGTAGAACTGTGTCGAGGCCCATTGTTAGTTGAAGTTGATTAGCAAGCGCTAACGGTCTTTAAGAGACCTATATTAACTCGGCTTTACGGCTGTCTATTGGATCCGAGAAATGCGGAATTTTCTCATAAGTATGAAACATCAGTGTGAGAAATCATCAAGGAGCATAACATAGTTAGCACCATTCAGAAGCGCCAAATCAGCTGGTCCGATCACATTCATAGTATGCCAGACAAAAGAAAGCCAAAAAATATTGAAATTTGATTAAAGGGCACCAGACTGAAAGAACAGTCCTGAACGACTTGGAGAGAAGTGGTGCACAAGGCGTTGGGACAACCGGGAGTGCTGCGGAGCTACAGAAGATTGGTGGAAGATCGCCAAAGAACGTGGCGTAAGACGCTCTGTCCCTCAATGACAATATGTGTGAACTTCTCAGCGTTTACTTGTAATTTGTAACGACACAGCTCAAATTTCTACTCCTCTCTACACCCTGTTGCTTACATTTCGTGCCTTAATGGGAGCGACACATAAATAAAGGAAACAAGTAAGAAACAATTCCACTAAAGTGTGTGTTTCTCTTAAAACCTTCGATATTAACAATTTTTACATCATGGAAGTTTACATTGTTGCTATCGAAAGGTTTAATTTCCTTGCACTATTCGGTGACCAAATATTTCCAAACAGTTGAACCTAAGATGGACTCGATAATACGATGGTAGTGTCGAGAGTTAGTAACTGAACCACTATATCTCATTCTCACATTCCTTTTCATATTGAAAAGGTAGTAGTAATGAAGATTGTGTATATTTATAAAGTACAAAAAGAGTAAAACGCGCTTCTTAAAGATGTGTGATAAATTAAAATTCTTACAAACTTATTAGTGAAATTATTGGGACAAATATTCTTGCTACAATTTTATCATGGGAAAAGTCGCCTAGTATTTTTTGTCCTAAACGATATTATTAAGAATTATTTACTAAGGTCCCATTTTAATAAAGTTAGATTCGCAGATAATATTTCAATTTAATAAATATGATAAGTCGTTAATTTTTATTATTTTTCTGGTATTAGTCATGGTTGGGAAGACAACGAATTGCGCACATCTCTTCCGTTATGTACTTATCATGATTCATGCTCCATTTAACCTGTACCTTCTATATGACATTTTTTCTTGTCATTCAATTATAAATGGGAGATCACAATTTTATTTCAGTTTTTACATATGAAAAGAGAATTAAACCGCGAAGTCAATAAACAAAAAATGATTCCACTTTCCACATGATTTTTCAAAATATAGCTAGGCTATATGTCGATCACTGTTTTCCATTGTTCTCGATTTAAGCCGCATAAATTTTTACATTTATCTCCATAATAGAGAATTGAGCTTCTTGTATGAACAATTAACTTGGTTTTGAATGATAAAAAAGTTTATATATATATATATATGTGTATATATATATATATATACATATATATAACCTTTCATATTGCGAATGTTTGACTTTTCTAAACGTTTTGTCTAGACTTCCATTCACATAATATTCATATTATTAATTGTTATAAAAATACTAAAGGAAATATTTTTTTCTCAATTTGTTTTTAAATCATAAAACTATATATACTTATTAAAGGTATGAATTTTTGCATTATTAGTTTGAAACATCAAAACGTCTTTTCATACTCCACAATTTCACCCATATGAATTACTTGTAATATTAGTATCTTCAGTGCACATTTTTTACACTAATTCTTTTTATTTTGTTTTCTTTCATTTCACCCTTAATTTTTTTTATAAATAAGAGACACAAATAAAAGGCTTTGGGGAGTTGGTTTTCAACCACACAGTTATCACATTAAGGCCAATGATTGTTTAGTCATTATTTGACTTCTTCCTCTACTGCACACAAAAATGCTTATGCTAGCTTAATTTACTTATTGATTCTTATTATCAATCTTACTCAAGATTTCTTCAGATGTTACACTCTTTCAATTATAATTTCCACGTCATAAGATAATATATTTAGCTTAAGTGTTCTATATTTAGTATGGATTCACCATACACTCTATTATCTCACATATCCTTTTAATTCAAATAATACTTTATTTTTTACAGACTTTATTGAAGTCTAAATTATTTAGTTTCTTTTTTATGACAAATATAATGTATATACATGCGAATAAGATATTTTAACTAACGATCATTTATATAAAGTTTCCTTTTGCTGTTTGTTACTAAATTTCTCGGTACTAAAAACTAAATATAGTTATAACTTTTTAAGTTCGCTTTACCATATCAAATAATTGAGAGTAACAAATATATAAAATAATACACACAATTTCCAGGAAGGACAAGACATGAAATGATGATCTTCTATTCACATCATTTATTTTTATATTATTCATATAAATTTGTTTTAAAAATATATACCTTAAATTTTCATGTTGATGGGCTATATTTACGCAGGTGCGATGTCAGCTCAGTTCAGTTCGCCGCCCAGAAGATTTTCGGGGAGGAATGAATTCAGGTTTGACGGTGTTCCCCGCTCAGTCCCAGTCTCAAGAGGTGTCCACAGATTGTTACCACCACTGCTCTGCGTCCACACTGACCCCGTGCCCCAAGTGTCATTGGGAGCTGCAAAGTGACAAAACAAGATATTTTAATACCCTTGTGGTAACAACAATTTTCAATGTTAGTCTGGACAAGCCTTTCCCGCCAAATCAACTACGAGCAAACCTAGATGACGTTACTTGGGGTAGTGCCCAGAGAACGGTATCGTCCATTTCGTCTCTGTTTACCGCGGAGTGAATATCGTTGTCAAATCTGAGTCAATAATATTGAGTGTAAAGTTAATCAAGTAATAATGAAATGATAAGTGTGAAAGGCTCATGACTTTCCCAATTACATCACGGGCTCTTCTGGATCGGCAGAGTAGCTGGGATCCCACTAATATCTTGTCTATACCTAAACCGGCTACAACACTGCTATTATGTTATGCTATACAATTTATATAAAAAGTATAGTTTATTCTATGCTGCCCTATGAATACGTAATAATTTCACACACCTGAATTTCTAGCGGTGGGAGGTTGATTGGTGGGACGCCAGACGCTGGTGCTGGCGGTTGTACCGGAAGTCTGTGAAGATGACGCTGCGGGCAGGGCTAAGTGTTGTAAGATATTTTGAACTTCGCTCTCACTCGGTGATTCGGCGCAGATCGTTGTGTTGCCCAGCACACAATTGTTTAGTGCTACTTGTGCTTTATGTGCCTCCTCACGGCTAGAATACTTGCATAGAGCAATGCTGTGGTTTAAATACATATGGAAATTTTGCAACGGACCATGTTGCATGCACAATGTCCTTAGCGTAGAACCGTCAATCTACCAAGATAGAGATAAAAATTCTAATAAGAAAGTCATCTTTTGACTAATATAGCTGAGATTTCAGTAATAAATCTAAAAGAACGTCATAAGCAAACTCCTAGTTGAGCTCATGGGAGAGCTTGGCTAAGCAAACTATTCTAAGTATGTTATCCTATATACGGACTGTAAAATATGTTGGAAAATACTGCGGTTAATAAGCTCAGTTGATCACATTTCAGCGCCTCAAATAAGAAAAAAAGAGAGCCTTCTGCCGTACCCTATATACAGGAATAGCAGGAAGAAAAAACTCATATATTACGGGGCATCCTATAAAAATTAAATCTCTAGCAGGATAAAACAGGAAACTTTAGCACAAATAAGGAAAGTTTTATGTCCGTTTTATGCATAAGAGCCTATTTAATTGAGCTTATTTGTGCTAGTCATTACTAATTGAGACATGGTCTCTAGCCAGATGTCACGAGTAACAATCGCAAAGTTTGTTCCACGAATTTGTAATAGTACTGGGGTTGGGTTAAGCGTATTTTTTAAAGCAAATTAAAGTTTGATTCGCACTAATTACGTCAATAGTTTTTTTTTAATGTTAGCCCCTTACGTTTGGTTAAAAAATAAGGTAGATTATCATTGATCGATGATGTGAGCGTATACAGATCTTAGCTTTCTAAACTGATATGAGAAAACACATATATTTTTCATACTTGTGGCGTAAGATTTTTGAGTAGAAGCCAAGTAGAATGACCCCAGTTATTGCTGGGCCAGTTTTGTTGACCAATTCCACGTGACAGCGAGCTCGGTACCCAACCGTTGGATGTAGTACTGCCTACAGTGCCTTTAGTAGCACCTAGACCTGGCGGAGGGCCACGTGAGGCTTTAGATACAGGTACACCCCATAGCTCACTAGTTGTTTGCGGTGGTTGTCCCATGTGATCGTTCCAACTATTGCTCTTCGTAGTTAATTTTGCAGTAGACCTATACATATAGATACTAAAATTAGTAAGAAAAATAACAAATAAAAACAATTATGCATGCAATATATATTTCTTCAACACATCATTTGGTTATTTGAAAATTTATGGTCATTAATCTATATTTCTGTTTATTTCAACCTTTGAGTCAATATTCTAACTTTTCCGACAGTTTTGAACTTATCAACACGGATCTATACACTGGGGGACTGGACATCTCATATTCAAAAAGTATGGTGACACTTGATGTATTAATATGAGGATGGCTGACAAATTTGTATCAAAGTATCACCCAGAACAAGAATAACAATCGAAAACTATTCTTTTTTAGTATAGGTACTCACGTGAAATTCTGCTGCGATGTTGAAGGGTGGAAACTCCATGTTGATGAAGATAGGCTAATTGGTTGCATATCTGTGGGTGACGTCTTACTGCTACCTGTAAATAAGTCGCTTTCTTTCGCTGTTATTGAAAGTGGAGACCTTGCTACACTTCCTGGAGTGATACTAGGGTCTTCTTCGATGGTCTTCATTTGGGTGCCCTATAAATATATTATTATTGAGCACATCCTTTTTAGAAGGTGGGATTTTTAATATGGTAAAATCATCAAATCCTAAATACTAAAAGCAATAAAATCTTAAAATTATGGGATCAAGCAATTTTGTTGACTCGTCATTTTTGAGTGAACACGTTCTGATTGATCTTAAGCCAATTTTGACCGGCTCTCTGACTGATTTGTTCACAAGGCTCATATACTACTCAAAATCATTCAATTTCCACTGATTTTGACTTTGACCTATAGCAGAACTTGGTCCTAAATAATGTGAGGAGTGGGTTAGAGGGCAACCTCTTTGGCCTCTTGCATTGTTGCAAAATTTGCAAAATTTTCCTTGCATTGTTAAGGTGACTTTAGTGATAAATATGTCGACTAAACTCTCTCCAGGTGCGTCTGCCTAGAGGTGAGCAAATGAATGAGTGAGAAATAAGACAAGTTAAAATAAGCACACTATGGAAGTCATACATATTAGGACGAATCAGCTCAAAACTAGTTTAACGATGGAAATGCGAGTTTAAACATATGAATCCATAATTCTTTACTTTTGTTTTACGAGAAGAGCCTAAAATAATACTAAGGCATTACTAAATTAATACAGAACCTTGAAACTTACTTTCCATGGCTTTCCCGGTTCAAATTCGGGCACGAGATCAGTAAAGGCGGCCGACGGTGAGGTTTGGCCCGTTGACCAATCTTTCGAATTTTCTGTCTCGATTGCACCTCCGTCTGGCCAGCCATCATTTACGTTGCGACCAGTTGACCAAGTACTGGAATAAAAACAAAAACATTAGAAGAGACTTGCGAGCACATGCTTTCTTTGTTACTCGTGAAATAAGGCCCAACTAACGCAGGTCGATCTGATGAAATCGATGACAAAAATATACATATATTTATCAAGGAAAGGTTCCACCAAAGAGCTGTGTTTTCATTAACAGCACTGAATTAAATCTATTAAGCAAATTCAAATAACCCACCCATCGCCTTGAAGCCCAAGGCTGCTCATAGTAGAACTTGCGGTCGACATTGTTGGCTTGGATGTAGTTCCTGGAGCACGTGAAAAATCAGTTGCATCACTTTCCTTCTCCAGTGCACCCAATTTCCATTGGTTAAGACGGCTTTGCTGTGTCATTGTGGCTTGATATGGTTGCGGATCCTAATATAAGAAGAAAATTGTGTGACAAAATTTTTGCTTCCAGATCTGATTAATTAGAATTTTAAATGTTCATATCCGTATGAAAATTATTTTTCTGGTACTAACCTTATTAAGAGTTATTTCAGAAAAATTTCCCTGTAGTGATACAATTGGATCATGTGGTGTCCTTAATACAAAGTCACCGGCATTGGCATGAGAACTTTGTTGCTGTTTCACGTAAATTGCTTGCTGTGCCGTAATTTGATTTTGTAGATTTGATATTTGTTGCTTCAGTTTTGTTACAGCTACACTATGCTGTAAACCATTCATACCACTACGCGACGTCATGTTTGATTGGGTCAGCTGAAGTTGCTATAACAAAACATAATTGAATTATAAGCAATGTAAATAACTGGAATGACGATATACTACTGAAGTATTCCAAAAATCCCACCCATTGTAGGTAACATTTTCCGATACACTTAACTAAACAAATTACATAAACAAACTTACTCTACATGAGAGTTTACCTTGATATTGTTCAGTAGCTGATTAAGTAACAGTAGTGTTTGGGGGGCAAGCGGCTGATTCAAAATCTGATGATTTAGGTACCCCGCTTGCACTGCCATCTGAATTTGCTGAACGAGCATACGTAACTGTTGAGTGGACGGTTGTCCGCTACTTTGCGGTGGAGGTGGTTGTGTCTGCGCAAAGGAAGCACCGTTTCCTGGAGGTGGTGGATTTGTATGACTGCCTTGTAAATATTTCTGCACTTGAAGCGGTTGAATAGATGACATATTGTTAAGGATGGCAGCTGACGTTGGTGGAAATTGCATAGTGGCCTGGTTGGTAGGAAACCGACCCGGAAAAGTTGGATCAAAGGAGCCGCTGTGCTCATCATGACGACGCCACGGTTCTACAGCACCCCGTTGTTGATTTAGCATTTCTAGTGCCTCATCCACATTCATGTTCGTCACCCTTTACAGAATGGTGGTATGTTATTAGAAAATTAAATTTCACAATTTTGAAACATATAAGCTAAATAAGTATAAGTATTTATTTCCTGTCTTATCATGATATTTTGTGTATTTAGTTAAGTTTTCTGTATATTTTATTAATATTGATTGAAACATACCAAAAATAAATACGACAAATTTATCTTTCATAAGATCAAACCCACCTGAGGGCAACTTCTGCTTCCTCTTTCTTAAATCCCATTTCTTGGAGAATGCGCAATTGTTTGCTATTTCGCATGAGATCGACCTGTGCAGTGGATATTTTAGAAGTTGTCTTCGCTGCGTTCCATTCTATTTCGCCCTCTGGCCACATATTAGGCTTGTTTTTTTGCCAAGAATCTCCACCCCATGCTCCAGCCTGTGTTGGAGTTTTTTCATCCCATGCAGTATTACCCTCATCCCATGATCCGTTTCGCCACATTATGCTCTCTTTAGTAACGCGTTGTCCTAAAGCAGCACTGGCACTCGGCCTCACCATTGCATTACCGCGTATATCTGCTGCTTCTTTCCAATGCGATACACCAGGAAGTCTTGTTGCGCCTTGTTGACCCCATAAAGATGTACCGTCATCAAAATTACCTACAGCTCGTCTCTGCGCTGGAGGAGAAGGCTCTTCCCAACCTGATGGTTTTACAGTTGACAGGGTCATATCCTGCTACAAATAAAAAAAAGAATAAATGGGTCATTTGTCACCATTTTTAACCTCAAATATTGGTAAGATATCTATTTTGTATGGGAGTATTTTTATGTATAGGATTTCCTATAAATTCAAAAATTGGATCAAATTTTCAAATCGGCGTTGTAAGAAACCAAGGGTGTCCGAGAATCTATGGATTTTTGAGCAAGTTATCAAAATTAATTGGAATTAGAATTATGTTTAATTGAATTGAATTAAGTTCTCATAAAGTACAATCAGAGCAATAACATTGGAAATGTCATGTGGATATAATAAGTGAATTTGTTTGACTGAAGTTCAGCCTCTAATCTGAAGACTTTCATGTAGTTTCGTAATAAAATAGTTAGCGTGCCAATTCCTAAATTAGTAATTCAACAGGTATATTCCTTTCAATCGTATATTTCTGTATGAAACTTGCCGAATGTATTTCTATTCTTCATCTATTGTTTGAATTTTACTCCTCAATGTCTTTTACTTGTCTTTAACTGATAAAAAAGAAAATTATTTAATTTCAAAGCTTAACACAATGAAGGCTTTTTCAACTTCCTTTGACTTAATTTCTTTATCTTATTGGGATAGGATAAATTACATTCTGAGAGATATGATCTCTGTAGAAGTCCTTGGTAGGAGTCTTAGATTGCCTTACCTTTGGTGGTACCGCCGCTCCTACAGTCCATTGTGCTGCTCCTTGACTCTGTGGAACCATCTTATTGTGAGGCATATGAACTTGTACTGCAGCAGCTGCAGCAGCCGCAGCTGTTGCCATAGCGTGATGTTGACCCCACATCTCCGATGCTCCATTAAGTCGTCCGCTTATCCCTCGTGGGTCACCACGCATGTCACGAATCTGTTCGCGAGGGTCTATGATACGTAAATCACGTGGATCGGCGCTGTTAGCACGTATCTCTCGTGGGTCAACCGATAATTGTGCACCACGCATTTCACGAGGATCTTGCCATGTACCAGCTGCTCCGCTATTCCAATCACCCTCTTTTTTCGGGACACACCCTGCTGCAGATTGCTGCCACATGCCACCACTAGAGCCACTGGTTGCCGCGCTACCCCATTGGGGTGTCGCTGATGCTACGGCGGATGTGCCTGTCCACACATTGCCGCCCTCCGCCGCATCGTCGTCTTCGCCTAAAAAGAAATGATGAGTATTGTTTAATATCTGAGTATTCCAGTGAATACGTCGTGTTGAGAATTCGACCGTGCTCGTTGACTTTGCTCGCAAAAGTGTTTATTAGAAGACAATGCTTAATTAGGTAATTACATATAGTAAGTATATATACTTTAGCATTATCATACTAAGGTCCATATATTTCAATAGTACTTACCCCATGTACCGCCGAGGTTTGTAGATGGCGTATGTCCCCAGGGAGTTTTAGTAACGGGCTGTGGAGCCGGCTGGCCACCATTTCGTAGATTAGCTTCCCAAAGATCCGTACCATTATTCACAGCTGTCTTCCATGCAGGTGGAGTTGATACCGTTGGCGTGGTTTCGACTTTAGATGTTCCAGGCTCTGGGGATGTGGGTACATCCCAATGCGTATCTTGATTTACATGCTGACATCCCCAGCCATCCTGTGCAAACAGCGCTTCTCGCATCGTATTTAGTTGTTCCAATTGATTTTTTGGCGCTTTTCCGGTTGCCGTTGCACTCCATGTGACATGGGATGGTACGGAGGGTGAAGCTGTGATGGCATTCGCAGCACTAGCACTGGTTGAGGCACTCGTAACTGCAGCAGAAGGGCTTCCCCAGCCGCTAGCGTTAATCGCACCCTCGCCGCCACCACACAGACGTAAGTGCCTAATAGGCAAATGTCTCTCACGTGCCACCCAGGCACACAATCGATCGTAGGGCACATAGTCTGGAATGTCTGATGTAGCACCATTGTCTTGTCTACTACATGATGCTATAACTTTCGGCCGGCACTCGAACAGGTTGCCAAATGCATTCTTTATAGCGTTATGGCAATGATCATAGCAAATTTTACATATATATATGTAACCATCAATATATGCTATATAACTCCACATCATATATGTACTAGCTAAATTGTCATATAAAGATGTAACCACAAAATTTGGAAGTGCACAACTACTCCTTGGTCGTCTAGCCAATACCTTTGTGCACATAACTGCAGTCATATTTCCAATCCAGGTGTGAAATAAAATGCTACCCATGTTGCAGAAAAAACCAATGGAAGAACCGTCATCGATTAGGATAAGTGTAAATTTGTGATGTCTCGCCACAAAGCCCTGTAAGGACAATAACAGAGAGAAATAAAAAAAAATTCATTGAAAGTATGACAAACCACAAAAAAATTACTATATTTTATATACACACGGGCATCAACAGAGGTAACACCGTGGTATACTGTTAGTCTGAATATTACTGTATAGAACTATTCTGATTTTTTGTGCGTTTCGCATGGACGGAATTATTTTTAGCGACCACTCTTTCACGTTAAATGTAAATGTATTTCTACACTCATTTAACGGAATTTCTCCAACCAGAGTTGATAAACCTTCTTTTCTGCACCTGAAAGTAAAATATCGTTGGTATAGCTAAGCCGCAGAAATAAAATAATTCTACTTGCAAAATAATATTTTTTAGTCCCATCGCTTTTTATAAAATTCCTGATGCGGGCGCACATAATTTGGAGGTTAGATTTTCTATTTTAGGCGTGAGTCCATCTCCGCAGAATTGGAGAATTTGCATTTTACGATCTCTGTTCAAATTTTCAAATGAATATCGGAAAGTACTTCCAGTTGCCGCCGCAAAAGTCGCATTACCATTTTTGGTTGGACATCGCGAATTTCTACTAGGAGCGCGCGCCGTGATGGTTATTTTTGACATGTCACCCAATATCCCATGTCAAATATTGTGAAAAATCGAGTAAACAACAGTGTAAATTTGCAGAAATAGGATAGTCATTGGCTTAATTGACCAGGTAAGCCATCCTCAAATGTAAGACCTTAGTTCTCAAACATTTGATGATGGTACACTGAAAAAAAAGTGTAATTATTCCCATAAGACCTTTTAATGAAAGCGTCTGTATAGTAATCATTCCATCTATATGGTAAAAGAAACTGTAATTAGGGAATTATCCGCGATAAATCCCATATTCTTCTATCGTTAAAATTTATATGGAGATACCTTCTGTATTTATGGGGCATCAAGAGCTTCCCTCTGATTTGCCATAACGGTATAGTGACCATTCCCACAAAGACATGAGAAATATTTCCATCCCTATTGTAACTATTATTTCACAATATGACGGGAAAAAAACAACAAAAAATGTAGACAAATTTAAAATACACGAATGAGAATATTGTGTAATATACGTAGAACTTTGAAGAAAATATAGTGATTTTCTAATACTATACTTACAAAAAGTCGTGGTAAAAATTTTATTTATATTGACCATTGTAAATTAAACTTTATCCCCTCAACGCACAAGCTACCAATATTTATAGCAAATAAAAATCTCTATAGGGAAAGAACGACTTTGCTATGCAAGTTAGTTTGCCAATAACAAGCCTTGCTGTAGCGAACTTAGTGGTCTAAAACAATGATGAACTTTAAGACATTTTACACGAATTACTATATAATTTTAGAACAAGGTAGTTATTATTATTTATTAATTATGTACTTATTCACAAAAAATGCTTTCAAATATAATGATTGAATATTACGAGATATCAATATTATGCTAGAATCTCACCTTAAAGGACGGATCTGGTCCCATTCTTGTCATCATGCCTACTTTAATTGCATTAAAACTAACGTTGAATATCACAGAATCGTCTCGTACATCGACGACAGATGTCTCCACTGAATCTCCTTTTTTGGTCTTCATTGTTTCGAATATTGATACATTTATATACGATCGATTATTTCATTTGACCACTTGTTTTTTTTTTTAGTTTGTCTCCGGCAACAAAAATCACGTTGGTATTCGATAACTACTCTTGTTTTCACCTAACTTCTTTCTGATTTTTTTTCTTATTATTTTGTGCTTTTTTTACACAATTAACTCACAAAATATTCTTAGTTGGTATTATAATAATTTTGTTCAATATTCTTTGTTTTGTTTTTCCTCTAACGAATATTATCACCGTCAATTTTATGTTTTTCTTTTTTAGAAATACTACAAGTATTATACATTTACTTTAAATTCATATTCATAAATACCTAAAATATTGAAATTACCGTAATTAGACTTTTGTATTTAATTCCGGAGTTTTACCTTCTGTATGTTAGAGAACATTCATATTCTGCGCATGAATGAGGTATCATACAAAGATCTAATATGTCAAATATTAGTCACACATTGATTTTAAAATATTTTTATTATTTATTATCTGATTTACTCAAGTATATAAGGTCTCTAAATAGTTCACATATTCTAAAATTTTTATTTCTATGCTTTTAGTAATTGTTATGGAAAAAGGTTCATAGTTTTATTATTACTTTTGGTTAGATAAAGTATTATTTTCTAATAAAAGTATGTTAATATCCTGTAAATACAAAACAGAAGTTTATATTAGTAATATATTTAGGAAAGTATGATGAAAATATTTGATGGCTGGGTAACAAAACTTTGGAAACTTAAGATGCCTACATTGTGTAGGTGAAGAGTAAATTCAAAGATAAAAATGTCTGAAGATGAATATCGGTGATCATATTCAGATCCTTGGACAGTACCTAAAGAAGTCACATTAAGTTGTAAGTTTTTAGAATTCGCAAACTCAAATCATGACAAATTTTCACTGAATCTAAACCTGAAATCCATTTGACAATAATTACGACTATGAACTAGTCGCTTTGCATTTAATCCACTTTTTTTTTAGCACTGTTCTGGAGGACGAGGAAGAGGAAATTCTCTGCCTATAGTGCGCTCGCTCTCCCTATCAAAAGGTCGCGTACAACTTGTAGATCGAATTCCCTATATCAACCGGCAAAACATCCAGCCCTGCCCAATTGGTATCCCTCGAGATTGTGTGGCGGGAATGCCACTGTCTAATGCAGCCTTCTCCTTCTGACGTGATCTTCGCTGTTAGCATTAGACACCAGAGGCAGCACTGAGGGTAACGCGCGAAATACGCGGGAGTCAGTCTCTTTGTGACCGTAAGGTGAGAAGTGCAGTGCCTGTAGAATCAGTGGATGCAGCGAAGTGGGGTGGCAGAAGGAGTTTGCGACATGCATGCCATCCCCACAGGAAATTAGACCTACAAACTCATCCGATAATCTTATGCGACTAGGGAGAGCATCACCTAGCGCACTATCGCATGCAAATCTCATTTGAGCAATGCAGTGAGATAAGCGGGTGTTGACCGGAGAAAAAGTGTGTCAAGTTCAGGCCCACTTTCGGCATAGTTACACTTGAGCTGGTGATCTTGAACAGTGCAGAAGTCAATTTTATTTCGTCCAGTATTTCATATTCAGTGTCTTTAATTGAGTTCAGGGGTAAGTGGGGCAGTGTTAGAGCGAAAATGTCGTTGCAATTTTATAATTTTTTCTTGAAAAATCGGCTAAATATATAGTAATAATCACAACGCTCAAATAAACTCTCGTCTTTAGAACTTCAGAAAATGCCTTTCATTGGGCATTAAAACTGATGGTTTTTCCTCTAAAAAAGAATGAAATTAATATTGTAATTTTTTATACTGCCCCCGACGGTGGGGTTTCGTGTCGCTGTGAGGCAGTATGCACTTTTATTTACAATAAATTCCATTGTGGAATTGTTAAATCGCGAGCAAATTTTCACTTTGGTTTCTAATTTACACACTGATACTGTTTAATTCCCTAAAAATCGCCTTTAAAGTACTATTTTCGCGACTTTTCTAGACCCTTGCACGAAATGTCAAAATTTCTGAGTAAGAAGCAAGTTGCCCGTCATGTTTCATGTATTATAACGCTACCAAGGCGTCAGTAGTGGCAACTTGACCCGCCGCGAAAGTTTCGCTCAAAATGTTTCTCTCGAAATTTCTGCTCTAATCAGTAATTTTTGTGTGCATTTCCTCACTTTTCAACGAAGAAGTCGATTAACATGATAAAGCAATATAACACAGAGCAAAATTTTATGAAAAAATTTCAATATTTTCCATAAGAAAATTTCGAGCGCCAAGCAAAAGTGAGGTTGTGTCAGACTGTCAGAGCGCACTGTTGTCAGTCTGTAGTAAGACGAAACTGACCCGCAAAGGATTCTATATCTGCCCCCTGGGTAGTGTTTGTGCATTTTCCACCACCTACTGAAAGGGCCGTGTCCAGGAGGAAAAGTTCGCACATATTTAGTATCGCTACTTAACCCTCAAAAGCCCGTAATAAAGTGTCACGCGAATGGTGGCTTTTTTATTAGAAAAAACACACAATCAATTTGGCAGCAAAATTCTCGTTTGTGAGTGATTTTCAAATTTTACTTATTTTATCTAAACAGTAAAGGCTATCCTGTGCAAATTTTCGTCAATTGTAGACCTAAAGGACTACAATTATTGTGTGAAGGATAGCAATTGATTCATGTGAAAAAAGAAACTGCTCGTTTACCCCTAAGTTTTTAGAGGCGCATAAGTTATTATAAGAAGTAAGGCTGTGCAAGGAGGATACAATAAGTGAGGAAAAATACATTCAGGCAAAATTAAGGGAATAATAAATCAGGTGTTTGAGTGACTTGTGTGAGGAAGCCTGAGGACGCCGTGTTTTCCTGCTAACATTCCGAGGAGACAAGTGAGTGGAGTTGCCAGCAATCCGATGGCTGAGGGGAGAATTTTTTTTTTAATCCTTGGTACGCTGAGGAAGCGCTGAAGGGGCTGCATATAATTCCTTTTTCCTCACGTCAAGGTGTGTAGATTAATTGCCGAGTATTGCCGGGGCGATTCGTGGATCATTTGCTTTGCCTCTATAAGGAATTTATTCTTTCATATCAATGTTGGTGACCATAAGCGCACACACTCAAATTCTTGTACACCCTCATTAAACTATCATCAACAATTGGGTGCTGGGTCAATAAAACGAATTAGTTTTTAATCGCAGCGATCGAAACGTATTCCTCCCGAACCAAGATCGTGGTTAGCCTTCCCCTCCTCCTCCCCTTACGGTGTCGTTAAATATCGCATGACTACGTATGCGGTGGATTGACGCTCTGAGACTATTTTATTATTCTATTGTAAAAACTATATGTGAAATGTCAATTTATATTGTCTTTATCTGAGGGCAAATTATGCACCACATGAACGTCTCCACATGAATATCGATGTGGAAGTAATCAACATCTATCTTCATGTGAGTGATTTTCTGCGGCGGTGAATTGCGGCGAAATTAGACATAACCTCATTCTCCGTGCGAAAAGTGTACAAAAACAGTGGGAAATTGCGCGAAAAGCGTCTGAAGAGGATATCAACTATATGACTTGTTCATGTCGATCGGTCCTCATGAACGTACATGTGGTGCATAATCGGCCTTCTGATCTCAGTTTGTAAATTAAATCAGAACATTGTAACATGAGGAAGGAGTGTGTGTACAAATAAATTATTATTATTTTTTCCCAAAATGCATATTTCACGTAATTTTTGCCCAGTAATATAACAGTAAACGATTCTATTTTTTCAGCCAGACATACAAATTCGCTAATTTTGTGTGGCAATGCATTAAAAGGAAAGATTCCCCCAGCAATGTGCGAAAGAATTTCATGTTCTACTCTCGTTACTATGTATCCCCGAACCCTGGCTAAATTCCTCATAATGTAGAAAGAGATAAAATATCCTTTGGCATATTGGTGTTCGACGATGTACGGAAAACGGCCAATTAGCTGAAACTCAATTTTTCCAAGCACGACGTTTCGGAGATATATTTTCCTCCTTCCTCAGACGTATGGGTTTTTTTGGGGAAAAACTGGTCAGAAAATAAAAAAAAAATCACCACCTAACTCGATCACTTCAACAAGCTGCATCTTCCGCATCTCCCAATCAAATTATCATCAGTTCTTACAAAAATAGAAAGAAATAAGGATAAAAAAGAAAATGCAGTTAATGAGCCAAAAAGTTTGAGTGTCGCCTCTTGACGTCTCTAGAAAATTCATAACAGAGAATTACTCCGTTAATCAAAAGCAAGCTGCGGAAGATATGGGTCTGCAATTCAGACACAACGAGACCCGACTTAATATTCGAAGACCTAACGAAAAAACCAGGTGAGAGTACTTTGAGCATACAAGACACGAACTCAACAGTACATGATTTGAAAAAGAAAATTGTGTCAACCAGGCTTAGCAAAAAGTGATTGTACTGGACATATGAAGAGATTGGAAATAAATATAATGCACTTATTAATACAAGAAATTGCTGGTCATAAATTACATGCGAAGAAACTGGCCAGCCTAGCCAATCCGTAACGGTTTAATTGACACAAATTCCACGCTCAAAAAGTACATTTAGACATATAAAAAAAATCGACTTTATTTATATTCTAACCATATCTTTTTGATCGATAGATGTCTCTGCTGGCACCCGTTTACTGCGCATAGATTTAACATATTGTAATATAACAGCGGGTCTAGTATCCAGATTTGAAAGAAGAAGTATATCAACAAATCTCTCCAAAATTTCCACAAAATAAAGAAGCTAAGAACCTAATTTTTTATTTAAAAGCCCACATTTGGATCCCCAAAGACAACATATGTGTTGTCGTCCTGACGGAAATCGTGTAAGTTCTCGTAAAAAATGCTGTATTTAAATTCTGGTATCATTTCGATATAATGGCAACCATTCGGGACATTCCTAGGATGTGAAAGTGCTGGTGCTCTGTTATCAATAGTTACAGAAACTACACACGATTTTCATTGACTGCTTTTACACAGTTTTTCTCTTTTTTAAATTGAATTTCCTACTTCATTGCTAACAATATAAAAGTGGAATCTGTAACAAATAATGAAACTATAATAACTTATGTTTTAAATATTATTAACAGACGAGGTCAAACAACTGATCTTCATGAAATAAGTAATAAAATAGCAAAGCGGAAATGTGTGAAGACGAAACGATTAGCTAGTTCAAATACTCCCGACAAAAGAATGCAGCCATTCGTGCCACTCCAAGGACGGAATTATGCAAAAATAACTTATTATTATGAAAGACCTGATGAAGAGAAATCCGCACAGATCTCTTTATCCCTTAATCGTATATCCTTCCAAAAAGTGTCTTGGCATTCACTTGGACGAGCGACTTACATAGAAAAGTCATATTGAGTCTTGAATGTGAAACAGAAAATCTATCAACATATCTCCTGCTCTAGCCCCAAACCTGTGTTCCAGTAGGAGCTACTGACACCATAAACATGTCAAAACTCTTGACTTTCTTGTAAATTTTGTAATCCCAGTAGTGACTACATTAGTTATTCATTCTAGCCTAAACTCATGCGATGTTTTCTATCTGATTACTTTTAATGAATGTCACCGGACAAATTATAAATAAACATGCGAAACGGCGATACAAAAAAATCTTTAAAATTTACCAGAAATTAATTATGTGGCATTTGTATTATTATAGAATAATATTGTAAACATCATATTGTAGAAAATATAGGGCAAAATGAGAGGTACAAAATTGATTAATACGACAAGTTTTATATTCGCGATGCAAATCACTCTAATGAAAAATCAGACTAAAATGGCTCTTGGCATAGGGGTAATCCATGAACCAAGGAATCCCTTATGGGTATATCGATCCATGTACTTTTTCTGGAATATGAGATTTATCAAACTGAAGTGACAAATTCGAATTTTTAAATCAATTTTGCACCACACTGATGTAGCTTGCGATGGCGTTTTATTATAATAAAAATCTTAGATGGTCTGAATAAAATATTCTGACTTACACTTTAGACGCTGCTTGTGACACTAAGTTTGCATTTGTTAGATATCTATAATCTTGCATTTCAGTTAAACGAGCACGGTAAAATGTCCATTGTCGCTGCGTAAGAAATCCTACGAAGAGAAGAAAGAGTATGTATGTGTTTATTATTTGTGGACTAGCATGCAGAAAATTATTCTCACCAAGTCACCGATGGAAATAGAATTTAGTTTTGCTCCATATACAACATTCTCATATATTAGCGACATTTACGATCTACCACACCTGCTCCTAAAACAAATGTCACAGAATCACAAAAGTTTCTAATCACTTGAATGTAGCGCCCTAGTGGGTTCATGTAGGAGATTTTTTGCCTCCCATAAATTAGGCGCCCCATGTACTAGCGTGGTCCACCTAAATATGAGTGCCTTTACGCCACAGCACACTTATCACGTCGATCCCGAGATAGTTGTATTCCTTATGAAGTTCCACTACCGTGGCAGCATCAGACTTTTGCTCATAAGTTACGCCACTCAACACCACACACCAGTCTTTTCCACTGAAATCTCGACGCCATTTTGTCAATGTGTCAAATGTCATTGCTCACCCGGTATCACACGTCTCAAGACAATTACTAAATTTTCTTCAGATACATTCGACATATCAATTAGAAAATTGCGGATTGTTCACTAAATCTTATATTATATATTTATATCTATTTCTACTCGTTGTTCATATCTGGAATATCATTAAATAAATCTTTCCCATGGAATAGAGCCTTTACACACATGGACTAATGCGAGATGAAATTTAGTCAGTTCATATCCAAATTCAGTTCCATACACACTACGAAGATTATCCTCGTTCACATATTCACGCACAAAACACGATTTTAACGCGTTTTTACGCCAATTAGGAGGATATTAGAAGAAAAATTGGTCACGCCGTGATTGCAATAGTGAGTGCAGGTGCGTGAATACTCGGATGTGATATTACGGGCCTTGGGCGGCTGTGGCTTAGTGGTCAACGCGCTTGACTCTCGATGCTACAGTCGTGTGTTCGAATCCCACCGCTTGCAAATGTTCGAACACAGCAGAGCGCAAAAATAAGCCTTTTAATGGCAAATTATAGCAGCCAAAATGGGTTGCTGTTGAATGTTCCAGCTGAAACATACGCTTCCCTGGAATTGTCTTGCGCTCTATTCCCGTACACATATATAAAAGATGGACGTTAGAACCACTTATGGTTGGTCGACAATCTGCCACAGTAAAACAAAAACTTGTCTAGATATCTCCTTTAATGGAGAAGGTTGTGTTTCTCAATTTAATGTTAAAGACATATAAGTAAGTAAGTAAGTTATTATAGGGACAGAATACATTCAAAACAAAAAAAAATCATCGCAAAGAACACTATTGTGGCCACAAACTGCCGAAGTATCCTCTAGCATTAGCCCATGTATGTTGGCGGAATAGTGCCATTCCGCACAACAGTGGCGGGTGCTTGTACTATTTTGTACTCGTGCTGCCGCCTGGATTTTTTTCTACCTCTTTTGCTCTGAACTTTCGGTGACGACGCCATGACAAATACCATCTGCATATTTTCATTACTTAAACTTAAAATTAAAGTCTTTTAATATTCTTAATTTAGTAAATAAATATTCGTGAAGTATAAACAAAGTGAATTTCATACTCATCAGAGAAATCGCACAACAGAGAGGAGGAAATTGGTCACTTCAAGCCAGATCTAACCTCACTCTCATTCCAGGTAATAACGCAGTCAGCCATTCACGCTAGCACGCACGCAACAACCACTAATATCATCATTTATACCCTTCAGATAATCGTGCAGACATACAGGGTCTCATTTATACAAGGCAATTTCACTCAACATACATTCAATTCACTGCAGGTAATACAATACCATATGTAAAGGCCCCATAAGAATCTCAGTACTTGCGAACAGGGCGAATTTTCGCAGTGATGCCTACTTGTGATTCTTCCTTTTTCTTTTTTATTCTTCCCCATCTATTTTGTTACAACTGTAGCTATTTGTTCTGCGTATTTCCTAGAACACTTACAATTCTAAAAAGAGGGACAAACTCTGTTCAAATTTTCTCACAAAATACTTTTTTTTTTAAATTAATATCATTATTTACGACGTTTTTTTTTATTATTTTTATCATTTGTACTTTTTTATTAAGGACTCATTCAACTTTTTTTTTATATAGAATAAAATTATGGAATGCGATACCGTGTGACTGAAAGAGGGAGTATCAAAAAATGTTTAAGTAAATATTTCTTCACAACATTGGTACTTCTTACGTGAAGCCTTAACAATGATATTTTCTTATGCATTGAATACCATGCTGTTTAGGCTGGACACGTCCATCTTAACCTGTATCTGACAACACAAGTTATCCTACTATCAGTAAATAAATTGAAATAACTTCAATGCAAAACATCTTAAGTGTGTTTACCCAGTAACTCAATTTTAAAATATTTAGATTTGCGTATACGTTTTAGATTTATTTTCATTCCACATTTTTCAAGAAAATTCGTATTTCGTGAGGTGCTGAGGAACCTACAGATGAGAGAGATCTAGATATAGATCGTAGAGATGTGAAACTTCATATAAAGTATTTTAGGTGCTCTTTTAAGCATCTCATATCTCTGATAATTAACAATTTTTTTGTCTTATGAACACTCTAATACCGAAAGATACGAAGCAATTCAATCTCGAGCTCGGCTTCAATTGTTAAGCGAGCTTAAAAACAATTCGGATCTATTATAATCCAGGCGTTGATATCGAAACACAAGCGCTTGGGCTAACTTCGACCGGTATTAACTGAACATTAATTTTCTTACACCAGACGCCCTATTGTTAATGATAGTTTAATGAGGGTGTCTGAGGATTTGAGAGTATCTGCATTTGAAAATGTCGCCGTATGCATGCCATCCGGTGGGCCAAATTTTCTGGCCATGACGGTTTAAAATTTTAAGTCGTCACAATATGAATAGCCTCAATTACCGATTGATAGTGAGTACAAACTATCAAAGAGATTGATGCTTTCGTCCCACATTTAAGTCTATTCAATGCTATTTCAATAATTAGTGTATCAATTAATCTATTATTAACTAAACTGCCTTACCCGATCGGTATTTGAAACGTATTTGATTAAAAAAAAAACTTGTAAATTAAACTAAAAATATCAAAGCTGTGCTAAAGATGCGTACAGCTTGGTGGCTCTATATGATTACCCCTGTTTAGACAGCTATTCTCAATGTTATACAGCGCATGTATGTTAGCATTATACAGCGCTAATATTTCTTTATCCCATGATACAGCACTTTACTCATCACACTGTTTCGACTATTGCCCATCGTGTGTTTAAAGTAACAAACGCAAAAGGGTAGATTATACCTACTCTGTGTACGGTGATTAGTAAGTTATAAATCTGTTTATCATTCGATCAAACGTCATAAATAATAAATAAATTTTTTGCGTAAATGTAAATGAGTGTAACCTAATATTTAGACTATGCACAATTCTCTATCTAGAAATTTTTTAGGGTTTAATCCACTACTATTTAAAAGATTTTATTTAAGAGATAGATTAAAAATTTAGAACATCCTTTTATCAACACGTGTAGTTTCTACAATTGTCGACATTACAGATTATTAAGAAAATGCATGTATTAACCATTTCGTGAATATTTAAAACAAAACTTATGCGAAAAATCACGGAAAATATTTTAAAATATTATCTGAGCACACTCTAAAGTTAACTTTAATTGCGTGATGGTGCAGTTTTTCTTAGTTTCCCCTAGTTTTTTCTATGTAAAATTTTTAAACCGTTAGTTTATATATATATATATATATATATATATAGCACCCTTAGGCAGTTGTCATAGATAACGGATGTGCAGGGTGTCCGCCATCTTATCATTTAACCCCTCTGTTGGTTGCGCATGAGCGAGAGCGACAGAGGGAAATGATGTGTTTGGGGTGAAGACACATATACAAGCCAAGTGACGTAGAGTGGTTGCATAGAAAATAGGAATACTTAAGGAGCCATCATATAGCGCCCCTGGTGACCTTGTGATTGCATTTTGCATGTGAAAGTGCCTATCCGTGGGCGCACCAAAGGTAGTCTGCTTGCGGGCGACAGTGCGCCCCCGTATGGCGTTTCTTGTAGCGTAAATATGGAGTCGCTTGGGGAGATGTTGGAGATGGGCGCCGAAGAGGCGACGCGCGGTCGTGTGGTGATGGTGGGTGGTACTACCATAATTGCAACCCGCAAGGAGGCGCGCGTAATTCAGCATGCACACAAAGAAAGTCTTGAGCTCATGAAAGAAGAGTTAAAAGGTCATGAGGTTGTAGTGGCTAGCATTGATGATCTTTCAACCGACGAACAACAGCAGGCCCTCACGCACATGGCTAAGCAGGAGCTTAGCGTGATCGTGGCTGCGCATGATGATAGTCATGACAGTCAGCTGCTTAGTCCTGAAAAGCTAACACCGCACGCAGAGATGCTTGACACAACGGACTTTCGCAGCATTCACGAGCCAACATATCAGGTGTGATTGTGCTAAAAACCGAAATGTTTTGTTTTCAGTACATTAACAAGTTTGAGAAAACGACAAAAATATGGAAGACGCAACGGAAAAATACACAAACAAAATATTGCAAAAGGAAAATAATAATAACCGTAATCACAGAAATTAATAGATATTCATTATATAACTAAAACTAATGAGTAACGAACTATAAAATAAAAAAGTGAAACCGAGGCAAAAAAAATTTGCTTAACACTTAGATGCACTTTGTGCCCAACGTGGTGAATTACAGTTTGAAGCCTCACTGGCACACCGACAAATTTATTTAAAGTTTATTTTTATTTCGTGACAAACTATTAATAGTTAATAGTTAAATTTTTAACGTTAAAAGTCAAATGTTGTGGTCACCAACCTTTATATGAGAGAATAAATTCCTTGTTAGAATAGCGGCAGAGCAATCTTACATTTTTGCGCAAAATGCCAAATGTGAACTCTCATTGTGTTGTTTTGAGACAATTAAACATATTTCAATCGGCCAAACATGCTTTTAATCACTATTTAAAGTATTTCCGTTTAATTTAGACTATTTTTTCAATAACAAAATTTCAAACGCATAGGGGCATTTTCATGCGCAAAATAGAATTTATGAGCGCGAAAACAGTGCTTAGATACTCAATCAAGTCATGAAATGTCATGTAAACTTACAACAACCACTAATCAAAATCTTACCGAAAAACTGATAGGTTTCAAGCGACAGCTAATATAGACTTTGAGTGCGCCACAAAACCTTGCATCATAGGTGCGTTTCCGGTACATCTTAGATCAAGCAAACTGCATCTCCAACATTAAGAACCATTTGAATAGATTTACTTGTGATCTTTTGAGGCATTAAAGACTATTCTAGTAAGCTAATTCATGCTCGTCATTACTAATTAAGTCGTGGCCTTTCCATTTGAACCATTTTAACTTCACAATAAAGTCGAAACACGACTTTGAAAACTGTAACCAACTATTCTTCTTCTGTCAGTACGTCAGTTCTCAAGCTTATTATTAAAACCTTTATGCAATTGTTGTGAAATATGGATTCTGTGACGTAATCACAAACTCTTCAATATTTCATTAATTTGGAACTCCTTCATGTATCTCGACAAATTGTTTTTGGTTTTTTATGATACAGTCCAAGTCAGGACGACTCTAAAAATATTGCTTATTCACATTATTGTCTCCACAACTGTTGTAGTCAAGTGCAAATTAGTTGGTTAGAATGACAGTCATGAAATGGGACTAGCACCAACGAGATTCTACTAAAATCTCTAAATTTAATGGGACATTAGACGATAGTTAGGAATGTGGAAAACCTGGCCATCTCGGTGTGTTTTTCCGTCAAACATTATCGCACTTACAAAAATCAAATTTTGTAACGTAAAATCTAATGTTATAAAATATAAAAATGTGGACATTTCCATTTACTGTTGCCGGAATACTGCGTGCACAATATGTAATACGCATTGATGTACTGATTAGAATTAATGTTTATTTTAGGACATATGCAAAACAAAAAGTATTTAAATTATTAATTTTTAAATTGTCAGACATTGACGTCGGTGAACGGTCGCATGTCGCCGCCCGGCTTCAGTCCTAACAGTAGCTACGCGACATTAACTCCTCTGCAGCCGCTGCCACCGATCTCCACAATGAGTGATAAGTTCGCGTATGCCGGTCATACAAACGCAGTGACAGGCAGCTTTACAGTAATGCAGAATAATGCAATGGAGCTGACCGGTGGTACTGCGTACACATATGACAAATTGCCAATGGGTATGTCACCGCCGCACGCGTACGCTAGCAGCCCCGGCCACATTGGCATGCAAGCATCACCATTATCTCCACAATCGGCTTATAGCCAAAATGGATTGTGCTCACCACATAAAAGCCTGTCGCCCACGCAGGCAGCTGAATATGACGCTACTTATACGCATTTACGACCCACACCACCACTCGCCAGTCCACCGCCACCACCACCACCAGAATCTGCCTTTGCTCCCATTAACGGTCTGCACCAGGGCCTGTTAGCTGCTACAACATCACAGCAGACACATCCGCCAGGTAAAATTTCTGGCCTATATATTTATTGAAAAAGCAGGTTAAGATAAAGTAACTGAAAACTTACTAAATTTAATTTGTGGCTTCGTTTATTCAATCAATGTTAAGATAAATACAATGATCAATAATGCAATGTCGCACAGTTTTGCTACACTGCCACATTTCCTCCTAACAATACCCCATACTTAATTTTAGTATTGGGGATTTTGTGTTCATCAAGAAAAAGCAGATAGTAGCTATGAGCTTCAAGGACCTTTCAAGGGTCTTCCAAATAGGAGAACTTTAGTTGCTAGTGTCGAACACGTTGGACATGCAAACTATTCAAAAATTCCAGATAATTTCGATCAGTATGTTAAACATTTCCTTAAATAAGAAATAGTTTTTGTAAATACAACAACCAAAGAAAGCTGCAGATATGACCTTATAACCCTTATAATTAATACTTGATAGAATACACTTCGTAAACCTTACATAATTCTTTTGCCATGTAGGTCTCATCCAGATTGCGAATATGACAGTTGCTTCGAATCGCGAAAGTAGTGTGGTAAAGTCTCCCTCGCCTATTAAATCAAGTATGGCAGCCAACAACCAGACAGATTCATCAGCGTCCAATGGAGCTACAACACCACTAACAGTTAGTAGCCTCAGTGCGGACGTGGAGGAGATCAATACAAAAGAGCTAGCGCAAAGAATAAGCGCGGAACTGAAACGATACAGCATACCTCAGGCCATCTTTGCGCAGCGTGTCCTTTGTCGTTCGCAGGGTACTTTATCAGATTTACTCCGCAATCCTAAACCTTGGTCAAAGCTAAAGTCTGGTCGAGAAACCTTCCGTCGTATGTACAAGTGGTTGCAAGAACCTGAGTTCCAGCGAATGAGCGCTCTTCGGTTGGCTGGTGAGCTCTCTTTTGTGTCAAGACTTTTTCAGCAACAATATTCGTTCAAAAACTCCCCTTTTAGTAGCTTAGCACACATGGGTATTTCTCTCAACTCCTATCGATAAAATGGAACTAGAAGTGCTCAAGCTGCTGACACGGACTCTTGTTGTAAAAAAAATGTGCAAGAATTTCTCTTCCCTTTCTCTGTTGTTTTATACGATCTTCACTGCACACTTTCTCCTTTCGTAAACTCTTTGCAGAATAGATTGTACAATTATCAGAGAGAAGTGTAAAAATGATTCACACTTCTGTCAAAACAGCTGCTAGAAATCTGCAATAATAGGCTCTATTTGTGTTTATCTGTGACAAATAACTTAAATGCTCATATAAAAATGTCCAAGTGTGCTAATGCGGTTTGATTAGTAATGAACAAATAGTTTAAGTTGGAGAGGTAATTTTGTAATGAGAATTGCTAAGTAAGGGTATAAACTTAAAAAAAAAGTAATTACTGTTTGTTATTTCTTTTAACTTTTTGTGAAATAGTTCATGCTTTTTATAACAAATTAGCCTATTATCCTAAAATTAGAAGTGCATTATTTTAAATTTACTTTTTTATAATCTGTATAACGGTTTGGAGGAAATTTCTTTTTTCTTCATGTATAGAGAAAATTTGGGGTGAATTTGGTCACTATTGGGGTTCTCACTCCTCGACACACTTCCGCGATCCAACACTACTGACCTTATTCTCTGTCAGCCCAACGTGATTTGCCTCCCGTGCCGAAATAAAATATAGTTTTTAGGTGAAATGGGAAGTTATCCTCACGAACCAGACAACTCAACCAAGTCTTGTAAGTCCCGTGGGTCAAACCTACGTGTATACTTCAAGAAAATCCACGAAGTGGCCAATGCGCTTCAGCACATAACTCTAATCCGCGCTCAATGCTTTCTAAAGAACGTGGTGGACAAGGATTGCGTACCCTTCGGGCGCTTCAACGAAGGCGTGGGCCACTGTGCTCAGGCCAAGCATTGGAAAACAACGCAGGGACGCTAATCCAAGCAGTGCGCCGAGTTCCTGCTCAACTGCCGCGTAACACCGAGTCGAATGCCGACTATAATGAATTGGACGTAGACAAGTTGGTGATTGACCACATCCAGGTATATCGTGCTGTCTGACTCAGATGTCGCACGTACAGAGCCCACGATCGCATAAAACCTACATGTCCTTTCCGTGTCACATCGAGGTGATCTTTACGGAAAAGTACGACGTAGTGGTCAAGACGACAGACGAGAAGCCAACGAAGAAGAAGCTGTCCAAGAAGTAGCTCTAGCGGCAGAAGGAGAAGATGATGAGGAATTAATAGGACTCCCAATGAAGATTTGGGACTCAATAAAGCACATTCACATACAAAAAAAGGCAGAGAATTAGATCAAGAGTGTTGGATCGCGGGAGTGTGTCGAGTAATGAGAACTCCAATAGTGACAAAATGCACCCCAAATTTTCTCAATACCGAAAAAAAGGAAAGTTCCTCCGAATCGCTGTAAAGATTATAAAAGTGTGAATTAAAAAGAGACCATTCCGTGTTTTAGTTCAAATTCAAAACGGGTGATAAACACCAACCTTTAAATTAAATCAATTAAGTCTATCTAAATAAATTCCCGCTGAAAAATATTTTAGAAAGTTACAAAGCTTGATTAAGGAAATTGTGATTAAATTATGAACAGCTACTAATACGGTTTTCCCAAACAAATCTATTACACCCTTAATGGAATAAATTTGTTCAAAAATTGGGTAAAATCCTTATTATACAAAATTATTTAGAATTGATTGTGAAATAAGAGCAATAGACAAGCTTAGCACTCCATGCATAAAATCTTGAGTCGGTTTATCATTACTTAAGTTATTTATTGAATTTGCCATTTTCAAATGTAACAGCGTAGCTCACCTCTTCATAAACTAACTTTTTCTTTTCAATAAAAAAAAAAAAATTTTTTTTTGATTTTTTTCAGCCGCTCAGATTCCTCAGCGAGGGAGCTGCAAGCGAAAAGAAGAAACAAGCACGGATCATATGCCGGCACCTAAAAAGCCCAGACTTGTTTTCACAGACCTTCAACGGCGAACATTGCAAGCAATATTCAAGGTCTGCATATGAATTTATTTACTTTATGTGCCTAATTTGCTGTTAAAAACTTATAAATTTGCATTTTCATATTTTGCTGTGAATATCCGTATGAATATTTTGTTTATACTTTCCCCTATTCGCTGCATTTGGATTTTAATGCTATTAAATCCCTCGTCTTCTTTGTCATCTAAAGAAAGTTTATCACGGTTACAGTTGTGGTAATTCGGATGATTCTAATTTTATTTTTTTCAGCCCCCTGCTATAGATACAAAGCAGAATATCAATGTGTGTTTTGGAAATTTCGTATCTCAGTCGTTAGTTGAACTTGTGGAAGGTGATGGAAACTAGCTCTTTTAGCTCAAACTCCTTTTCTTCTCCGTACTACATTTCGGGACTTTATTTTCCTTTCCTCAGCTATGGAAAAGTGACGAGACATAATTTACCTTGTCATAACTTACTTCCGCGATCGTTCTCAAATTGTTAAATTTGGAGACCAAACGTCTTCTCCACCCACCCTAGGAAGGAGCATTGGCCAAGAATCCATTCTTGATCAATTTACTTTTTTCATGTTCAGTAATTATCGATAGATAATTATGATGATAGATATGATCTATTGCGTGGTTGCTCGTATAATCTGTATACGGACAATCTCCAGATTTACGTTGGAGGTGATCCTACAAACTCTTCCCTTGCTTTCTACCTTCTGAATGAAAATCTCTCCAGAATTGGGCACTGGGCCTCGTCCAATGGACTTGGCCTTAATCCCAAGATATCGTAGGCAATTATCTTCACGAAGTAATTCAATAATTGTGTCAGGTACGTCTGCGGACTTTACCCTGTGATCATATTTCTGCCCACTGTTATGCTAGTGGGCTACAACCTATCCTCCTTTGTGCAAATTCGAGACCCAATTTTCTTGAATCGCTTATGCAATATTGGTTGCCCTGGATATCTGGCTTCCGTCTTGACAAAGAGTGTTCGACTAGACTCCGGGGACTTCTTGTTCCTCGAGCTGAGCATTAGACTTTTTTCCATACCCTCTTCGTTAGGGGTGTGTCTTTTTATAATGCGCTTCCGCGCGAGACCGTTGGGCGCATCAAAAAGTTCATTCAGGCTGATCACTCTCCTTAGCCATTTTTAGCTTTCAATCTCATATCTGTAAATTCTTTTATTTCTCTTTCCAATTGTTAATTGCTGCTGGTGGTAAATTCCGTTTTGGCTCTGCATTGCCGCTCTATTGCGGCGAATTAGGTTAAATTTCTAGAGTATTTTTGTAATTAGAGTCTTCGGTATGGCCACTAAAAAATTTGTTTTTTTTTGTACATAAACTTTGTCTTCTTTCTTTATTCTGGATATTTGATATATAATTCTATATTTGATCATCTGTTCTGAAACTAACATAAAATAATATTTGTTTTGTACGATATCCTTTCAATATTTGACAGGAGACAAAACGTCCATCAAAAGAGATGCAGGTGACGATAGCTCGACAGTTAGGTCTCGAACCTACTACGGTTGGTAACTTCTTCATGAATGCTCGGCGACGGTCAATGGATAAGTGGAAAGACGAGTCTGATACTAAGGCAATTTGCCAGGGCCTTAGTCCCGGCGATAGTGCTTTGGATTTGGATGATGGCGAAGATATGGAACTAGAGCTCGGTCACACCAGCGACCTGGATCTTGACGCAGCCGGTGAACCACCGGACGGTGATCCTGAAGATGGTGACCTCTTGTGACCCAATCCGTATTCTCACAACCTGCGAGCAATAGAAGACAGGGAATGTCCCAAACGTCATAGGCAACACCTTCTTGTGCTCTAGACGGTCTAAGTCCTTGTGACACTGTCTTTTTTTATCTTATGTGTTATGAGAGTTTTGTTACATTCCTATACCGGCTATGTAGAAGAATATTAGTATTGTGAGAAGCTACCGGATTTTTGGTGACTTTGATTGCTCAACAAATGAGTTAATAATTATTGTCAAGCGGGCCTATTGTCTGGTAAAACCTACTATGTTTCTAATAGTCAGGACATATTATAAAAGCAAGATATATAAGATTACAGATAAAATTGTATGGATTTCGAAATACATAAGCTACTGCAATAGTACGCTGGAATTAAATTGATAATCTATGACTTCACACAAATTGGATAGGTCTAAACATCTAAATAACTTTAAAAAAAATTAAACTTAAACGCTTTATTCGAAAGCAATTAAATTTTCTTTTTCTTGGTCCTTTTTAGATACCTCCTCAATGTACTCGAATGCTAGTACTTCGCCAATTTTAAAGAACATTTTTTTTGTCATATGTGTACTTTATCTGTCAAAAAAATGGAAAATAGTGCACTATAAGCGTATGCTTATGTAGAATCTGGAGTTAATTGATTTTTTTTTGTATACAACATACATTTTAGATTTGAGTACATTTCGAAATTGCCACATTTCAAGTTGACTATAAATAATAACTACTGTAAATCCCAGTTCTTCCATCATATTAGATCAGCATCAAAATAATTTTTCAGCTGTTTGTAGTGTAGTCTTTTGCTTTAGCTTCTTTGTGACTTTATACTTTAAATTATCATGCAGAAAGCACATTAAAAAATTTGCCATTTCAAAAAATATGAAAAAGCAATTCAACACACACACACACACACACACACACACAATATAATATATTATATATATAATATATATATATATATAATATGTTATATACACATATACATATATATATATTATATTATATATATATATATTATATATAATATATATCAGTTTCCACTTTTGATGAAAACATTTGTGAATTTTTTATATCTTATTATTCTTTTTGTTGGTTAATTTCATCTATTTATCATTATTTTCATTCAGCTATTACTATTCGAAAATTCCATGTTCTAATAAATCGTCAAAGGTAACATCATTATACTAATTTCTGATCTACTCGTTCTTTAACATGAATAAGGAACTTATTATCTTTTATCTGAAATCTTGTGACGAGTGCATAAATTCAAAGCCTAAGAAAGAAAGTATTGATTATTTCGACACAGTATTTTTTACCAGATTAATATGTTACTCGATATAATTTATTATAAAAATTTAAATATTTTCAAACAAACTTTTTTGTTAAGACGAAAATTTTTGCAGATAGTACAATTCAAATATTCTAATCTTCTTATTCAAATTCTAAGAAATCAATTGAGTCTCTTGAATTGCCAAAATATGAAACTGAATTACATACTACTTTAAAGAAGAGCAATTTGTTCTATCTACATGCCGGTTACAGTAACGAAATTGCTGTGATTTTATTTTCAGAGTACCTTACGTGTCCACAAAAATAAAATAAATCTAGTCATCAGTCTAGTCAAGAGAAATTAATTTCAGTTTGAAATTTGTTTATTTATGATTTTTTGATATTAAAGACAGAACACAAAGTAAGAGTTAGTGAGAAAAAATATAAGACAAAAATACAAAAAACATGAAAATTATAAGATTGGAGCTACGAATAAGATTGCAGATAAATTCGTTTTAGTTTTAAAGGAAGCAAAAGAAATGATGACATAAGAATATAAAGCTGACAAAGTAATCGTAATGTGTAGTGGTAAATTGAAATAAAAAGAGGAACCAGAAAAGTAAATCTTTTAGGATTTACAGAATTTAAAAAAGATAAAGTTATTTAATTATATTTGACGGAACACCCAATGATAGATTATAAAAACTCCATAAAATTATGAAGATATGTGGAATGAAAAATATAAAATTACATAGTAAATCAAGAGTAAACAGTAATAATAATAGTATTTAAAATTTAAATTTAAGATAAAATAACACATTGCCTTGCGGTCATTACCCGCCCTATTTAAACATCATAGTTTCCAGTCAGTATGGGATTACACGGGAGTTAATAAGTATAAGAAATGTGACATTGTTCTTTTTTCATTTTTCTTTCAGCAGCACAGACAAAAGGACCTAGCACACACGGACTTTTCTCTCCACTGAAATCGAAAAAATTTGAAACAATAAGTGCAAATGAACGGGTTGCCAGATTCCTATTGATAAAAGTGACGGGTGTCAATCTTCTTCGCTTCTTTTTGTATCCTTCTTATGTTCTTTACTTTACACTTTCTTTTCTCGCTGACTTTATTTCACAATGGATTGTAAAACCGTCTGAGTGGAATGCCAAAACTTCTCGGGGTAAATTTATAAGCACTTATCAAGTCTCTTGATATAAATCTGAAAGATTATATGTTCCCGAGTGAAATTCAATTATACCAATTTTATTTGAGAGCAGCAAATTGAGTGACTTAACAAATTGTTCATATTGTGTTTGTAATCACTAATTAAACCATTGCCTTTCATAATCCATTTTGTACACTAGGACGATTTTCTCTCAAATGGGATAGGATTTGCAATTGACAGTTCCAATTGAAAAGTTTGATAGTAAACTGTTCGATTTGAATTTTATGAACTGTAAATCCTGTTTTAGTAGGCTAAATCATAAAAAGGAAAATCAAACTGTCAAATAAATTCTTAAATCCTACCCAATCCCAGAGAAAAACTTACATGTCTGATAATTATCTTTGGCCAATACTTATAAATTGCTTGAGCCAAAATTCTAAGTTTGATTGAAAATTTCGAGAGAAAAATATCCATGTGTGCTTATGCGGTAAGGCCTTTACAGACAGTGAGCATTGTACTTAAAATTTATGAAATTCTACTGAAATTCTGCAAATTTCATAAGCCATGTTGTTCTTTTATTGTGGGTACATTTGTATATTTTTATCACAAAGAAAGCTATATATTTCTAAAATTTTTCTTAGTTCAGTATGTACACAAAATACAAATCTAAAAGTGTGACACTAAAATTCTGGAGTCAAATGGCTAAAGTCTGATAACACAGTTACCGTGTATTCTTAATTAATTCTGTATTACAAAATTTTAATTATTACTGGCAGAATTTCAGTGTTGAAAATTTTATTCCATAACCGAAGATGTGTAAAGAGGACTATAGACCTGTGTATATATAAAAAGGTATTCAGCTGAAATTGGTCATTTTTATAACGGTATTATTTTCGTAATGTGGTTAAATCAATAACTGAGAAATAAAAATTTGGAATAATTCAATAACGCAATATTTCCACAATGAAAAATCATAAATTAAAAATAATATGATTTCATTTTCATTTTTGGTTCTGTTCATGTTTTCAGACTAGAATGTCATACATTGATTTTGAAACATTTTGCCTTGAATAATATGAGACGTATAAGAAGATCTTCCCCATTCACTGAGCAGTGGGAATTACAAAAAAAAACTCCGAAGGTAACAAAAAAAGAGTAATTTTAAAAAATATATATTTTAATCCATCTTTTTTCATGCTCTCGAGGCTACAGAATTTAAATATTTCTTGGTATACTTCATTTACAGAGAAACACTAGACAAAACCACCTGGTTTATCACAATGCAAGAATAAAACTAAATAGGCGGTTCTTGAAATGTGATTATTAAGCAATATTATTCGGAAATTTCTTCTAATTCTTCTTTGTCATTTTGCTGTAAAACCAATGCACCCATATAATTAAAAAATAAAGTGAGGACGTCTCAAAAAGTGACCATTTTCCGTTGGGCACCGTTTTCTTACTTTCTTCAGTTCATATATTTCTAATAAGACGTCGGTTTTCAACTTTGTTATACGAACCCAGTATCTAAACAGATATGCTATCTATATTTGTTTCTAACACATAGAAATTTTATTGACTTCGATATTAAAGTCACCTACCTGATTTTTTTTGAGTTTATTAGGTCATCCCACATAATGTGTCTTGCGTTAAACTTATGAATATTTACTGATGCGGTTTGCGCTGAATTTGTGTTTTTCAACAGAGTTTTAGTTTGGAGTGGGTTCCAATCGGAGAGCAATAGCTTATTTAGCGATTTAAAGCATAAAGTGGCCTATAAAAATATATCACTGAATTACACAGGTAATCTAGATAATAATAGCAGCAGTCCACACCGGTCATTGCATTGCTAAATTATCTGAAAAGTAGCTACTGGCCGTATAAACAGAATAGTAATGGCTGTAAAGTATTAAGAGTTAAAAAAAGTAATGACGAGCACGAATTGTCTCATTAAAATAGTCTCTAATGATTATACCTCTATTGACCACTAATGAATTCCAAATCAAAGGGGTAGGGTTTTTTTTTTCAAAAGAGCCCGGCATCATCAACGAGCTGGTAGCGCCTAAACGGTTAGAGATATCGACATGCGGTGTGCACCATAGCTCCGCTTCTAATTAATCGATTGAATAAATTGAGAGCTCATTGCAAAGGTCTTGAAAAATGCCATGTCCCATCTTTACATCATAACTTGGTGGGCTAATGCTAGGGGCGCTAAAGTAAAAAAAAAAAATTTCGTAATTTTTAAAGCGAATAACTTAGTACAAATGAGATACAAAATCTTAAAACTGTTGTATATTGTAGCTTCTAAATTATATCCACAAGTGAAGCCTGATGTATTAGGAACGAAAATATGGAAGGTCGGAGGTCCCACCTTAACCGCACCTTATCTACGCTGTTTACCAATAGGTTTTTGTTATCTCTTTATCAGAGGACACGCCTCAATGCCTCTTAGTAGGCCACATTTATTATTAGTCTGTGACGTCATAATAAATGCCGCCATATTGATAAATAAAACTTTTCAACATTTGGACAAATCTGTTAGGCATTTTGATTTGATTTCAATATACTGTATTACAGGACAGAACGCCTCTAAAAATTGGTTATAACTTTTCACCGATGTAATAGAAACTGAGTTATGACGGTTAAAAGTTTTTATTTGAAATACTCTTTAACTTCAGTACTATTTGCTCGATCCTAATAGTTTTAGGCTCGTTGGAAAACTTTTACAAAACTCTACAACTAATTATAACAGCAGAAGTTCATTTGATCGCCGCCAGAGACGCTAATGTCAATATCAAATTTCTTGATTTTTGTAAGTCAAAAATTTTGTTCCAAGATCACACTACTTTGAGATAATAACTTAAGTATTTTTTATAGTCCAGATCGAGAAGTTTCCAAAATGGGGTTAAACTTTTCTGTCTAAGTTATAGAACCAGAATTATAACTGTTTGAACTTAAGGAGCTAAATTTCATATTACATATGAAAATTTCCACCAAGAGGTTACTTATGACGGTGATGCAGTGTCACTTGGTCCGAAATATAGTCAAAATGCATAGGGGATACCGAGATTATTTTATTTTGAGCAATATTTTTGTCTTTAAATGTTACCATAGCTGAACTTTAGTTTGCACGCCCAAAGAATGAACGTTTTCAACACTGCTTGAACGGATTACCAAATTCTGGTGGTCAATACTTATGCCAAATTTTTTCCTCTGTGGCGTTTGAACCCTCCTTCGCTTCACATTTTCTGCCCTCGTGAACATTTTTCACAATAGATTGTAAAAACTATGCAAGAAAATATCATTGAACTTTTCGGGAAAAATTAATTTGCACTGCTGTCAAAACTGCTGCTAAAAATCTGCTATATTTGAAGTGCGTAATATAAATTTAATTGTTTAATTTTATTCGCAAATCACCGAGACAATTAAAACTATTTTAGTGGGCCACATCATGTTTAAATTACTAACTAAACCATTGCCTTTGAA